AAAACAATGGCTGCTGAAGGCTAAAATTAAAAATATCTATTCTAGAGTCTACTACTATTATATATCTACTTACTCCTGTATCGGTATTTGTAATCAGAACTGTTAAGGTGTGATAAGTACTAAAGTTAGTTAATAGTTAGTACCCCCTATATGTAGTTAAATCCCTATTTCTTAAGTAAGTTAATGTTAAAGTTAAAGTAACAGTAGATATAAACTGATATATGAAATATGATTAGTAGGTAAGTAAGTAGGCCTATATCATATCATATAGATCTAGTAGTCTATATTATATGTCATGTGAGTATAATATTAATAATAATAATAATATTTAACATTTTTAGGAGGATTTATGTTTTGAAAGTCATAAAAATGTTTCAAAGTTTCATTCATGTACTTGTTTCTAAACAACTGTATTAAAACTTTTCAGTAATAAATAAAGGTGAAAAAAAGGGGGAGGGGGGGGGCACTTGATACTTTGACTAAATTTTTCGGGAGGGGGGGGGGGAAGTATATGTTTAATATATCAATCCCATTTCATTTAGCGGGTGGTAGACTCTGCCCCCCCCCCCCCCCCGGAAGAGATGCCTGGATGAAAAAGCTCATTTACATTAGAGGCAGGGGCAGAACTACTGTGCCGCCAGACCCTGCAATGCAGAGGGGGGGGGGGCCTACGCCATTTAGGGCCCACAGCCGATCATATTAAATTTTTTTATAGTTAAAAAAAAATTTTTTTTTTTGCATTTTTGACTTGGTAGTTTTGTAAAAAGATTACTGTAGCTGCGGTTGGATTATCTTTATTCTATAGACACCATCCCACGCTCTTGTATATTCTTTTTCCCTTTATTTTTAAACCACTGTGAGAGCCGAGTCCTCTTTCTCCTACAATCAAACTTATCAAAGATAGGCAAACGTTCAAACCACTTCATGACCTATTTCCCTTTTTAAATAGTCAAATAGGTGTGCTTATAAGCTCCTTTTCAATAGATTTGTACTAAACAAATTAAAAAGCAATTACTTCTCTTAATTATTATTTTTTAATTCAATACTTACTAAAAAATGACATTGTACAAAAAGGAAACATATTTAAAATTAATAATATAAATTAAAAAAAAACCCATAAAAATTAACATAACACGAGACACCATTACTTATACAAAGCTTTCATGTTTTATATTCTTTTGACCGACTAGAGGTTAAGATGTCTTATAGCAGAAATAAAATAAAACTGATTCTCACAAAACACACTAATGCACTTACATGACATTATGTTGTAATCATTGGCGTAGCTACTGTAAAGCTAGCGTAAGCAAGGCATAGGTGCCCAAGGCACATAGGGGCCCTTTTCCCTCTTAATATTGGAATTTTAATATTTGCTTTATGTAAATAATTTTAAAAAGAAAAAGGAAATCCAGTTTCTTTTCTACTGTAGAAATAATTAAAAGTTCCAAAAAGGCCCCCAGTCTTTCTTACTGGCATTCAGTGTATGTGCGTGTGTGTGTGTGGGGGTCAAACAGGGCCCATATGGTGCTACTAAAATTTGGGAAGTCGTTCAGAAAACGCCAGGCAGTGTTTTTCCCCCAGACATTTTTTTTTCGAAAACGTGCCTGAAAGAAACTCTGGTATTTGGGAAGTTTTCTAACATTTAATTTTTTTTTATGACTCCGCCCCGGCAGTAAGGCGGTGCTGTTTGCCACTCAGTTTCCCAGCGGCTATCTTTGCACCTGGGGTTTGTTGATTTACTGTCCCATGCAGTGGTCACATTTGCACAGGCGCATCAACTGACGCTCTGGAGGTCGCATAACCCAGTGTGCACAGGTTTTTCCCGTGAGCCCCACACGCCTATATTCGTTTTAATGATCGCCATTCACTAAGGATACGGAGAGCTACTAAAATCGATCACAAAATCGAATAAAAGGTGTCCTCCAGAGCATCAGCAGTTGTAAGGTTGGGCACCCCGAGATAGCAAGCACGGATGACACCAAGCACAGGGGCACCCTACATTGGGCCTCAACGTTCAACGATTAAACTGAACCAGGGATAGCATCTGGCTAGCTACAGCAGTGTAATACGTCATTCCAGTTGGAGCCTTAGGCAGTTGCTGAAAGGTGTTCAACCTCGCTATTACGGAGAATGATCAATGTACGCTCAATGCTTTCTTACAGCTAGGTCAGGTGTTCCCTACACTTTTACCAAAGGTGTCACCCCATCTTCCCCAACAACTTTGCATTTTCAGTGGGGTGTCGCCCCTCTGTGACTTATCTTTTATTATTTTACTGGGATACAACATAATTTTTTCAGCAAATTTTACAATGTTTTGTCATGGTGTCAGCAGATGCGGACAGCACCTCTGCCCTGTCTTGTGCCCCTGCTGTGTTTGGTTACTTGAAAAACAAATCAACTGTAAGCCTGTAACATTTTTACAAAACTACGGGGTTGTAGGCCTACATAATAATATAGCATAAATAAAAAATTTGGATGTATAAAATACAAAATATATAGAATATTTATATTATTCAAAACCATACATCGGTGGTAGCAGTTGATTTCTTCATTTCCCTCCGTTGTAGCCTAACGGCTGACAAAAGGGCCCACTGATAATCTTTGCATAGGGGCCCAAAAATCCTAGCTACGCCACTGGTTGTAATTTGTATTAATTGAGAAAATTTATTTTTTCAAAACCCGAACAGGCCAGCAATGAGTATTCTATGTTTGTATTTTGTGTTTAACGTTAATTTCTGGCCTATATTTGATTTTTATTATTTAGTTATCTATAATTTTTATACAAATATATCACAATATACTTCTATTAAAGCCTTAACAATGAGGCAACTTTTTTCCACATTACTGGCCTTAACCAATTTTACACACCTAAAACGATAGATTACCATCATTATTTAGGTACTACTAGTAGATTTAGGTGTGTTGTTGTTGTAGGTAGGTAGAAATACTACAAATGAACAAAACAAAATTGGTAATTAGCTTGTAATCTAATGACCAATATAATTGGAATTGTATCTGCAGAAATCACGCTAACTATTACTACTAAATATACATGCAGTACACAGGTTTCCAAACTTTTTCAAGTGGGACCCCTTATTTATAAAAGTAAGTGACTCGCGACCTTAATAGAATTAAAAAGTCTAAATTAGTAGGGAAGTTAGAAGGGAAGTTAGTTTTTTAGTATTATTTTAATTGGAATTATTTTTGATAACCGCTTTAATACGATAGGTTTGCTATTAACTAGCTTCAAAATTCGCAGATGAGTTTTTGAAAACACCAACCTCATTCTTAACATTTAATTTATTACTTTGTTTTGTTTTTTTAATTGGAGAAGTGTCGAAAATCTACTCTCACAAAGATGTATAGACACAAAAGGAAAACGCACCTTAAGGGAAATTTAATGGAATTTAATTGGCATCGAGTAAAGTGTTAAGGAGCGAAAATCATACGCAGTAATTATTAAAGCTGTCGCACACACACTAATACATGCACACACACTCACACATATATATATATATATATGTGTATCTATATATCTATGTATCTATATATCTATATATCTATATATATTTATATATATATATATATATATATATATATATATATATATATATATATATAGAGAGAGAGAGAGAGAGAGAGAGAGAGAGAGAGAGAGAGATATATATATATATAGATATAGATATAGATATAGAAATATATATATATATATATATATATATATATATATATATATATATATATATATATATATATATATATATATATATATAAAGATATATATATATATATGTATATTATGTATACATATATATATATATATACGTATATTATGTATATATATATCGTGTATATATATTATGCATATATACATATATATTATTATGTACTAGGCTGCATACCCGTGCTCCACCACAGTGAATCTTTTTTTAAATTTACCAACTTGGGAACAGATTAAAAACAAACAGAAACACTAAAAAAACATAAACACAAAACAAACACAACAGAAACATAAACACAAGCACAAACAAAAACACAAATGCAACATGCAAACACAAACGCAAAAAAACCACACAAAAAAAAAAATACAAACGCAACATTAATGCAAACACAAACACACAAAAAAACTCAATCTCAAAGGATAACGCAAATGCAACACACAAACACAACACAAACTCTAACGAAAAAAAAAAACAGAAATGCAAACACAAACACACAAAAAACCACAAATGCTAACGCTAATGCAACACCCAAACACAAATGCTAATGCAACACACAAACACAAACGCAAACAAAAATGCAAAAACAAAATAGGTACACACAAAAGGCAAACACGAGCACTTAAATAATGGCTTTATCAAACAAACGGCAATGTATTCTAACAATAATGCTCTCATGGACATCAGCACAATTTGCATTCACATAATTATCAAAAATTTTAACTAATTAGTTTTATTCACCACTTCTGTTATTAAAATGTATCCATTTTTTCTAGTAGTGTAAGCGAAAATATTATTTAACATTTATCTGTTTAATATGTTATAGCAATGTGCGTGTATTTAATCATTTCTTCATGTTCTTTAGTTGACGTATGCAAAGAGTAGAAACTTTGCCAAGTATAAAAAAATTTAAGTCGTTAAATAAATAGACCCTACTCTATTACTTGTAATAAGATAATGGCGATGAAAGTAATATGTACGCCATGTGTTGTTTACTCTTATGTTTCTAGATTATATAGCGATGACGGAATGACACAATACCTAGCAGCTTATATTATAAACACACACAGGGAGGCGGGCACCAAATTGAAAGTTTGCTGAGGGGTCGCTGCGCCTTTGAAAGCAAGATCTCATTTATGAATTAACCCTTAGTGGCTTTTTTCTCATAATTAATTATGTATAGTTATTTAGTATGTGTGTATTCTACTGTTAAATTTGAACTTTTTTTTTGTTAATGACATTATATTAATAATGTTTCTTCTAACTTCCAAAAATTTAGGAATGTCAAGGTTATTATTAGTACATGGATTTGAAAAAGGAACAAACCATGATGAACTGCTACACCACTTGCAATCTCTCTTTCCTGAAGATTCAATTCAAAATCTTTGGCTTGATCCATTCAAGCAACCCAGAGCAGTTGCTGAGTTTGAAAGAATTATTGGTAACTTCATACATTCTTACATAATATTTCTTAAGAAACAGTAGATGGCATTTCAGATGAATGGTGTCACTTAAAATGTAAAAAAAAATAATCTTTACTGTTGAATAATTATTTGTTGCTCTGAAATCTAATTTTGTGTTTTTGAATCCACTTTAAAAAAATATTTGTATATTCCGCTCTCAATTTCCAAAATATTTTTTTTAAATCAATCACCTTCAAGCTGTATTTGTTTACAAGTTAAAATTACATAAATTTATGTACATTTTTTGTAAATTTCAGATTTATTATGCACTTACTATATCCTAGGTCTAGATTTTTAAAACTAATACTTTAGTGAGTTCATTTCACTTTAGCAATGTGTGGAATTGTAGCTAGCACTAACTAAATGACCAAAATATTTTTGTTTGCTACAACTATAGAAATTAACCTAAATGTAATTGTTTGCATTAATCTAACTACTAGTCTGTCCTGCCAAATTTTTGTATTATGTGTTTTACATCCAGATGACGACAAATTACTTTCATATAGAAAGAAGAAATCTTTCAAACTTAAAGGCCATTGCATGTTTGTAGAAATTGAATTCACAACATCCAGCATGATAGCTAAAACAAGTGCCACTGTAAAAATTGGAGCAAAGGATAAACTGAGTATGCTTTTCAGTTCAAAGAGAAATGGAGGCAAAAAAGTTGCAAATATAACAGAACTTGTACTTAATTGCTTTGAAGTGACTTTCATTGAAGGGTGGGGTAAGTTTTTGTATAAGTGTCTGTACATGAAGTTGTGCTTTGTCATGATTATTGTTTTTAAAAAACAAAACTTAACTAAAAAATACCTTTTTTTAAATTTAGTAACTCAAGATTTAGTAATTTTTAAAAGACTATGGTGTCTGGTGTTAATAGATTTTATGAGCTAAGCTATTATATTTAAGGACTATTTTACCATTAAACTTTATTCCTTGTTTTCTTACTTAAGATTTTCTTCTTTACCAGATGCTGTTCAGGCCGTTTGTCAATGCCCTTGGCAGGTAGAAGGAATTCAAATAAATGTCTGTCCTTATTTTAAATCCTTCAAAGAACCATTTCAAGAACAGCATCATAGATTACAACTTCAGGAAGAAACTTTTATAACATTAATCCAAAGCTCTAGACCCACATCATCGCTTCCATCCCAGTCAGCTACAGCAGCTCTTACACAATCTCCAACAAAAACTGTTCAGAAAGTACAGAAGAAAAAATCAACTGTTTTCTTTGACAACGCTATTCTTCCCTTGCTGCTTCATTATTTCAATTTTGATGAAGAGGTGACAAAATATTGTGATGATTTGACTGTGGAAATTGATATTGATGAAAAGGAAGCAAATATTGAAGGTACACCTGATGTTATGAAATCGGTTCATCAAATGCTGTCTAAAGAAGATAACAAGGTAAATATTGAAATTTTTAATCAACAAAATATAGACACATGGTTTTTTCAACTCCTTTATGTGACATACATACAGACTTTTTGAAAAGACACAACACTATATTCAGATGAGATTTAAGACCACTACTCTAAGTGGCACAGATGTGCTTCACAAGCAACCACTGAGATCAGATGGGTGAACAATCTGACCAGTTAGCTTTTCGGTAAAATAAATATTTTTGCATTTGTAAATCTATTGTGAAAAAACTCTTCAATCAGTTATTGGTTTAAGGTAACATTTGGGAGAATAGAGAGCAAGGTATAAGTTGTCATATATTTATATACTTATTTCTAACTTCTTGCTTTTGACTAGATTTTAATTCTTTTAGTACAAAATAATTAAATAAATTCATAATATTTTCTTTTAGGTCGATTTAGAATTCCCAGAAAAAGATTTTTTTTCTAATAAAAAAATACAGAATGAAATAAAAACCATGATTGAGGAATCTGAAGTTACCATTATACTTTCTGGGACAAAACCTGAGCTTTTTGTGAAAGATAAAAAGGACAAAGAGGTAAAATTAATCTTGGTGCTGGTCTCATATTGATTACAATGTTGTTGTTTTTTTTTTTGGAAAATATTGTATATGATTATATTTTTTATAAACTTATTAATTTAATTTCTGTCCCATAACTATCAACTAACATATTTTCCAGGTGCCCTTCTATAAGTTTTTCACATCACTTTTTGTAAGAAGAGAATGTACATCCTTGCCTAGTAAAGATTTTCCAGAAAAAGAAAAGTTGAAACAATTTGTTGAAAAATTTAACAGTGATCACAGCAATTGTCAAATTTATATGAAGGATGTCTCTGTCACTTTATTATCTTTAGCTAGTAACACAGAAGATTTGGATTCAACTGTAAACCACATCAATAATAAAATAAAATCAGCTGTAAATCCACATGTTGCTCCTAAGTTTAATCCTAGCTTTGGCTTGTCTGCAACAAATGATGCTATAAATAGAACACAAATGCCCAACACAAGAACAAGTACTTTGAATCCTGAAAAAAAATCTGTGCCTTCTTTAAATACAACGGTAGAAACACCCCCTGTTTCATCTGGTTCAAGTCAATACAACCAAACCAGAGAACCTCTACCATCTGATAAATCTTCATCTTTGAAGATAAAAAGAAGAAAAGTTACAGTTGTTTGTCAACACCAGTTTTATGTATGGCTGCTGGACGTGTTAGATTTCATACATGCTGTTACTCGTGTGCTCAGCAGAATCAAAGTAACTGTGATTAAAAATGACTGTGAGGTTCTGATTCACGGGGAACACAGTGAGGTTGATAAAGTCAAGACACTGGTTACAACAGAGGATGGATGGGTAAGTTTTGATAGATGAACATAATTCTTATCTTCCGTCTGAAAACAATTGTTGATGTAGTAACTGTTATCTGTTATCTGAAAACATTGTTGATGTAGTAATTACATAATTGTTATCTTCTGTCTGAAAACCATTTTTGATGTAGTGTTTCTTCTGACAAGATCACCTTGATACCTTAGTTAAAAAGACAACATTATTTAGTTATGGCTCTGTTGTCAAAGTGTGTTGAAACAGCCATTTTGGCGTCCCATAAAACTATTTTTATGTAGTGTTGTGACACATTGTTTTACCTAACATGATACATTTTTATAAGATTTTAAATTATATTCTCAGTGTTATATTTTAATGAAGAAATATTTATTACAAAGAATTAGCTCCTCAAGATGAAGCTTTTATATATGCTAATAATTGTTTAGTATTTGGTAGTAATTTGTTCCTTGCCTAATGGAGCACATAAATTTTTGTGTTTGGTTACATAAGATGTGGTCTACTGTTCATGATTAATTCCTAAAAAATACTTTGAAAATACCTTTTTGCTTTGTATAATTAAACTATGTTTGTATTATTACATAATTTAAATATGACAATCATACAATGTTCGTATTATTACATCATTCAAATATGACAGCACTTTGCATATAAAACTTTTCAACAGAAATAAACTTTCAATTTATTTATTTTAATATTTTAAATTTTTTTGTAAAATTAGATTTCCATGAATGCAAGTGAAGAAAATTTCCTTGCTGAAGACAAAGTGCAACAGTATTTGAAGTTTCATGTGAAAGAGATGGGCTACCATATCGTGGTGGATGTAGATGCTGATGATGATGACACTCTAGAGATGTGGGTTGAAGATAAGGATTATCGTAAGGTTGTTTGATCTATTTTTTGCATCATTTTTCACCCTGATAGTTAGAAAAATATTTTTTATAATACAAGATGGGAGCCAAACAATCAAAGCTCGGAGGCTTATCCTGTACAAATAATATCAGACATAGATTCATCAAGCTGATCAAAGCAAAGTACTATAGGAGTAGAACATTAACTATAAAAAGTTAAAAAATTAATTTTCTTAACATTTAAATATATAAACTTTTACAAAAATGTATAATTTCATAAAATATGTGAAATGTGTTACATGCTGTCACCTATTTCCCTTTGGAATGGTGAATGTCCAAAAAACATTAATTAGACTTAAAAAAACTTTACATTATAATTTGTTGCTCAAATTTCAATTTCTAAAGTTCAAAATCATTATAGAAAAATAACCCTTAAGCCAAGTAATCAAAGTGAAACACACATAAATATTGTGATTAAGAATTATAGTACAAAAAATAATCTAGATTAACCCAATATTAATTGTATTTTTTTAATTATTTCATAAATTCTGTAGGTTCATTTGTTGTTTTAATGTTTAAGGCCAGCTTTCAAGACTTTGTGATGCAACTTGTGGTAAAAAGAAAATGCTTTGCCACACCTAGTAAAGACTTCCTGCAAAGCCTAGAATGGATTTCCTACAAAGATTCCTTCAACCACAAACCACCTGGCTGTTATCACATCTCTGACACTGAAGATTCTGTAACTCTTTTGTCTCTGGCTGATTTCTCTGGAGATCAAAGTATAGATGATGTACTTGCATCTGTAAACAATGTCATCACAGCTAAAGATAAAGAAAAAACTGAAACCAGTCATAGATCTTCTCATACAAATATTTATCCAGATCAAGCAGCAGAAAATATATCCCAAAAGTCATCCCTCTCAAGTAATGAAGACAATTCCAGGGATTCCCAGCTCAGTGTTAGCATTACAAGTTCAGCGAGCTCTTCTGGAAGTAAGGGTAAAAGAGCAAAGCTTACCATAATTTGCCAGAATCATTTCTATGTTTGTTTACTGAAGTGGCTAGATTTAAGAACCTCTGTAATGGACAGATTTGATGGGCTGATGTTTGAGATAAAGGAGGAAGAGGATGAGGTTGTGATCAAAGGATACAGTGATGACTCGAAGATGGTGAAAGTATTGGTCACTGAACATGACAGAAAGGTAAAATAATTTTATCTTTTATTTTAACTGAAGCTTTCTTAAACATTAGTTGTCACGGGTTGTTGTTTTTTTAAAGAAAAACTGAAAGAAAAATTTGCTTTCTGCTTTCAATCTCTTTATTTTTTAAATTACTTACAGCTTTACACTTCATCTGAATTTTTGTAATTGTATATAATTATGGTAGTAAATTATATACATTTTTTGCTAATATTTATTTACTGAGGTTTCTATAAGTTATCTTTTAAAAGTTTCATTGGACATTTACATACTAATTTAATGCTAGTACAATTTTTTACAGCTTCGTTTTACTGATCTAGAAGAAAACTACCTCAGTGACGAGAGAGTACTACAATACATAAAGTCATCTGTTGCAGACATGAAAATTAGCATAATTGTTAACAACAATAAAGATCTTGTAATGCTCGTTAGTGATTCTCAAGGAAATAAGGTTAGTCATGATACAAAAACTGCTTTTGAAAAATTGTGCTGTCAAAATGAATTACATTTTGTCAAGGAAGCTGAACTTATATCTCAATTTTGTCTGAAGTTTGCAATAGTTTAAATAAGATTAACTATTGACTTAATCAAAAGGTTAACTAAATAATGTTCATTATATGTTTTTCAGGTATCTTTTGTTGACTTTATGCAGTCATTGCTGATAAAGAAAGAATGTCAGCCTCTCCCTTCTGTAGAGTTTAGAAATAATCCTGAGTGGACATCTCTGATCAAAAAGCTTCAGCAATCCCAACCCCTCTTCTACATCAGTGTTGAAGGAAGGAAAGTGACTATTTTAACTGCAGTGAAAGATAATCTAGATGAGTTAAAGTCACTAATGAAGAATTTGAACAAAACTGTTGAAAGTTTTTCTATCACAACAAAGATTAACAAAAGAAGTTTACCCTTGCAGAAGTCAGAGAATTTAACCAAATCTAAAAGTGGTGTTGATCAAAGAGATGCGCAAAACTCTGGATCTCCCTTGATTTCCCAAGGTTGGGTTTTTACTGATGAGGCTCAAGGCTCTGGTTCTACTTTAGTAAATGCTAAAACTGGCACCCTCGATAAAAGAACATTCAACCCACTTGTAGACACTAACCCATCTGGTGATTTCAGTTTTGATCATTTTAGCCTTTCAGAGCTTTACACAATTACTATTCACCATTCTTCATACTCTGAAATAACTTCAAGCGATGAAAGACGCGTATATAAAAAGATAAGCAGTAATAGTAATAAACAAAATAGTAAATTACATACAAATGAAGAAAAATTCATCTTCCCCGTAAACCAACAAGTTTACAACTACTGTAAGATGTTTTTAAGAAATTATTTTAAAGAGATTTCAGAAAAACTGAATGAGAAAACGGAAATTATTTTCGCTCATGGTTCAATTGAAATTAAATGCAGAACTGAAGAAACACAGCGTTTTGTGTTAAACAAAGTACAGGACATTGTGAAAAGCATTTCCTACCAAGATCTCATCATAAAGAAACCTGGCCTGCCACAGTTTTTAGAATCCCCAGAAGGGCTGCAGCTCATTGAGTCAATATCAGAACACACAAAGTGCTTCTTGGAATTTCCAGAGAAGATGTCGGAATCCTGGCAAAGGGACTTAAGGAACCCAGACTATAAGGTGGCTATAATTGGAACAGCTGTGTGTCAAGGCTTTAACCTTCACCTTGTATTAGGGAATATCAGAGACATGGAACAAGTGATGAAAGTTGAATTTAAACCTTCAAAAGAAGGTAAAAAAAAAATATACTCTTACCTTACTTTTAGAAGTTGCTTCTGTTAATTGCTAAAGAAATACAATATCTGAATTCTTAAAAAAGAAATTGTAAACTAAATTTTAATCCATACCCATTTTCTTTTGATATTCAGTTTTTTAACTGTAAGAAGCATCTCATTGCATGTTATTTTTAGCTGATCGCTTAAGAGCAATTAATTCCCTTTTCAGCCAAAGAGTTCTCCATTAAACTTCAAGGGACCAGCAAACACCTGGTGATCATGGTCCCAGATGATGAAACAGAACCAAAAAAACTAGCAGAAAGCTTGAAAAAACAACTACTACTTGTATTTGAACAGGCCAAATATATTTCAAATGTCTACCTGGCATTTTCAATGGAATTAATCTCTGATCCAGAATCACCTGTACCTTTTAGAGCCATAGCAGAAATTATTATCAGCGAAATATGGGGGATCTTTCAGAGTGAAGACTTTCACGATGAAGGGGAAAATCAACAATATCAGATGTTTATTTGTGAACCAAGCAACAAGCATGTGTTTGATATTTTTGACTCTCTGATGAAAGACAAGTTTAAAACAAAGTTTGAGTCCCCAGACCAAATTTGCTGGGATAGTATCTCTCCTACTGGTATGTTTTTAAACCAAATTAATTGTTATAGATGTTTGTTGATAACTAATGCTTATAAATAATTGCTAATATATAGGATGAATACGAAATGCCAATAACTATATTTTGATGAGTGTTAAATCATAGACACCATTTTTATTTCTATAATTCTATAGAAAACCTGTTCCTATTATACTGTTTTTATTTACAAGAGTTAGGCTAAAACTAATTGCTGAACAAGTTTACAGCTAAATGATGATATCTTTTGCCATCAGATTCAAAGGCTTTTCTTTTTACTTTTTGCTAGATTTAAGAAAATACGCAGACTACAATACAATGGGTGTTTCAGTGGAGGTTTCAACAATAGACAGGGAGGCAACAGTGAGTACTTAATTATTTTATGCATTTTTTTATAGCATAAATATGTTGTCACAGAGGGGAGCCAGGCATTTTCTAAAAGACACTTTCCCAATTGCTGCTTGCCAGAACGCCGTTTTCCTGAATGAACACTTGTCCGAGTGGGATAAACGCCCGAATAGACACTTTCTAAACAGCATTTCTGCTAGTGGCTTTCGGGCATTTCTAGCTTTTGGACAAGTGTCCATTTGGGCGTTTGCCACATACAGACAAGGAAAACAGCTTTCAGTATACCACTTCAGCTTTTGGGCAAGTGTCTTTCATCAATTTGGGCAAGTGTCTTTCATCAATTTGTCCTAGACCCTTCACACGGTTTGCTTATTTTATGAAAAAATAAAATACAGTTAAAATACATATATTCTATTTTTATTTCTTCAGGCAGAAGAAACTCTTTACTGCTATCCTATATTGCCTGGTCTGGATACACAAACCTGCCCTATACTTCTTGAGCCATCTTGTTCTAAGCAAAAACTTGATCTGGAACTCAGAGAGTTCCAAAGATCAATCCCTGGTGGCATCTTGGTGGGAGATTCACTTCAAGTTGGATGTCTTGGAGTCGGTAAAGATGCTCTTCTCTATTGCTGCTCAGAATGGGGAGCCGACAGTGAAATGGTAAGTTGTTTAACATATGGTCAGTTGTTTAACATATGGTCAGTTGTTTAACATATGGTCAGTTGTTTAACATATGGTCAGTTTAACATATGGTTAGTTGTTTAACATATGGTCACTTGTTTAACATATGGTCAGTTGTTTAACATATGGTCAGTTGTTTAACATATGGTCAGTTGTTTAACATACAATCAGTTGTTTAATTTACAGTCAGTTGAGTTGATAGTGAAATAGTGAGTTGTTTAACATACGCTGGGTGATTTAATGAACACTAAGTGGTAAGGAGTTAAGCAAATACTATTTGTAGACACGTGATTTTGTTTTCTAAATTTAAAAATCCCATTGAATTATTAACTTTATTCATTGGTGATTAAAATAAGTAGTGATAAACTTATTTGGTTTTTTCAAATTGATTAATTTTATATTAAATGAAATAGAAGTTTTAAATATGAATTTTTTTTAAGAGAACATGTATCACTTTACTTTTGGAGAATTATGATAATTCAATGCTGATGAGCAGCTCATTGTTGAAATTTTAACATTTAAACACATTTATTGATTTTCAAGAATCCAAATTTAATTTTTAACCTGCTGTTGCATTTACTTTTAGGCTATTCACGATTGCTTGGAAATGTGTGCCTTTTCTTCATCTAAGTATGAGGAAGTGCATATAATTCCACCTGGATTTCATGTCAACCCTAAGTACCCAAAATTATTTTTGGCTCAGAAGGTCTTTGAATCATTGGATATATTATTGAAAGATAAAGAAGAATTTAGGAAAAAGCACATAGTTTTTGTTATAGATGATAAGGACTATCATCGGGTAATTAATATTAAATTTGTTCTTTATATTATTAAGATACTTTTATGTTCCCTTGTTAATAAAATATAGAACTTTTTCAAAGAAACTTGACAGTTTTTTCTACCCTATTAGTACCTTTTATGTAATGGAATATCCAAGCTTTTGTTTTATTTCTATGTAATGTTTTCTAAGTAAGTACGCTAACTTAATTTAAAAAGGCAGCAGTTTGTGTGAAAACTAAGTCCTTATTCATTAATTATTTATTAATTTATGGGAGAAATAATTTATGTTAATTGTATTCCAGACATTAAAAAATAAAAATAATAATTATATATTTTTTAAAATATTAAGATACAAAATTTTTATAGGCATTTGAGAATGAACTTCTTAAACGGTGTGTGAAAAGAAAGAAAGAAAATAGTTCTGACTCAGGTACGTCACAGCTTGTATTTTTTTAAAACCATTTGTTTGTTAATTATTTTAAGTTTCTATAACTAGTTTAAAAAAGATAGATGCTTAAAATTACAGGAAAAATTGAAGCTCATTTTAAACTGTTAAGTCTAAATTATTAAAATTTTTAATGGTTAAAGTATATTTGGAAACTGCTTATGTGCAACCATCTAATAATTTAAAAATCTAATTCTTGTTTGAGGTATGTCTCTCATGTAAAAAAGAAATCAATAAGAGTTTGTAATCAGGAAAAAGTCCTCTAAAGCCGAACATTAAAAGTTATATATATATATATATATATATATATATATATATATATATATATATATATATATATATATGTTACGGTCAAAGTCCGAAGTCGGCCAATCGCGCATTAGCCAAATTCGTCTCCCATTGGTTGGTCAAAGTCCGAAACTTTGTTTGATTTCGGCCTTTGGACCGGCCAAAGTCTTAATTAGAAAATCATCTGGTTAGGGACGACCGGCCAAAGTTCGAATTAGAAGATCATGAGCAGATTTTGGCTTTTTTTTTATGCCGTAAGGATCATGAAATTATGTCTTTATTGATTATTAATTATAGTACATGACAGAAACATTCAAATTTTTTTATTGTAAGCTAGTCTCAATCAATCAATATTATCATTTCTTACAACAAGTTTAACTTTTATGGCATTAGAATTACATGGTAGCTTGTTATTTTTACACTTGCGGCGATTTGTTGTGCACTTGGTTGTGCAATTGCAGCGAGTGTAACCTTGGCCCCCAGTCAATGATTGTGAAGATGCGATGGTTAGTAGTGATTTTTCCTCAGTGCCGACGACAATAAGAGCAGTTTTTCGTGAAGAATTGAAAACTCACTTCAAGCATACAGTTGTTTTAGAACACCATGTTCCGTTCCTAATTTGTACAAACTGCCCTGGATGCTCATGACAACTGCAATCATGCTTAGGGGATCACCGCAACCTCTGTCAACATCTGGAACACGGATGCGTACATTGTCATCCACTTCAGCATTTTTAAATTTTGTATTTGGTGTTTTAAGCATCTTAGCACCTTGAGTTTGCAAGCTGGTATGAGCTGCTGACCTGTTATCCATGATGTCTTGTTTGTTGTGACACAATCTGCAGGTAATGTTCCCTCCGTACCCTTCGTCTGCTTCATTGGGTATTCCACAAATAGCATGGACATCGTTGCCACAGGATCCACAAGAACGAGCTGCACTACAATGTTTTTCACAAACTATACAGAATCTGTTGGCCACATTATTGTCACGCAACTGGTCTAAACCTTCCGCCACGGCAGCAGATGTTTTAGCTGAGGATGTCGTTGCATTTATGGGTCTGCTTCATTTGGTATTCCCCTTTTGTTGGGGAAATATGGTTTCTGACGCCCACGCCATCTCAAGTCGCTTGGACACTATTATTCAACTAACAAGGAACGCGGCAAAGTTTTTTGAACGTTCTGTCTTGTTGCATGTGGTCGGTGACGCAGACTGTCTTTGATTTTGTTCTTTGATGATTGTCATCAAGGAGGAGGCTGTCACATACAGTTGTAGCCCATATATAGGAACTAACATGGATTTACATCTGCTCTGTCTGTCTCATGGTCTGACGGCCCTTTTGATCCATGTCGCCTTGCATATAGAATGCTATGCAAACAAGAGCTAAACAATACATTACAATGATACCGCACCCAGAATAAGGATAACGCGATCACAACTTAGTCTAGATAGAACATTGGCCAGGACATCCCGGCCAGTGCGAGCATTGGCCGACCAATGTATGAAATACGATATTAGTGCTAAGTTCTTCGGGCTTTGACAGTTACATATATATATATATATATATATATATATATATATATATATATATATATATATATATGTATATATAGGGTTACTAAGGTATTACCAACATCACTGCCACTCATAAATAGACTTATTCTGTATAGCAACTGAACAACGAGACTCTGCAAGTTTATCAACTGAAGATGCTGTTGTCAGCAATGATGTTATAAGCCATACAGTTTCTTTCTGGGGCCAGTCACATGACCTCATGCACAAGGCATCTTCTATGTTTGAAGAAAAACTGGATCACTTGATGTCTTTAAAAACCACTGAGTTACACGTGAAGAAAGATAAGATTGGATCAGTTGAGGTGTCATTTTTTTTAAATTTAGTTCTTAATTCTTAATTATTTTCTTAATCTTTGCCATCCTGCTGATGTATATGCTACAATTATAGATCTAGATATCTCTCCTTGTCCAAATAAGACAGTTGATTTACTTTTAAAAATTAAAGTTGATTACCTAGTTGTATTCTTTTACAAGCTGTTATTTTTGTATTGCCCAAGTGAACTTTTTAAAATTAAGCTTTAATAAAGTATAAATTTGGAGTACATTTTGATGTAGCCATTAGTTGCTTATAGTAACAGCTACATATTTCTTTTTATAACTATTTTACACATGAATTTTTTAATAATTAATTTTAAAAATAATTAATTCATTACCTAATAATATTATAGATAATAAATTTAGGTTTTTACAATTTCAACTGTTTCAGAAAATCATAAAAAGTAGAAATGATTGGCCTGTTTTATTGACCTTGGAAAAACCTGTAAATCCAACATCAGCAAGCTCATCAAAACACGAGAGAGCTTCATTGAATGTCCAAGGATTGAATCACAACGTAGTCCAGCAGTTCATAAACCAGGAGCTATTATTTTTAACAACACAATGTTATAATAAAAAAGGTAATAAAAAAGATTCAAAATTTAAAAATCCACCACAACAAAAAGATCCAGATCAATTTTCTAGAAGAAAAAGGGATAAAAAAACAAGCAATACAAGAACCCCATCTCTTGGTGATAAACAACCAGCCAAATTTGAATCCCAAGCATCTTCTGGAGATTTAATCCCACCTTTTCAATGGATGTATGAAATCACGGACCACACTAACAAATCAAGCTACCAGTATTTTGAACCAGAAGTTAGCATTATTTTAGAGCAAGCTTATACCCAAGAGCAGAGAAAAAATGTTGAAATAAATATTGGAGGTTTTACAAAAGCCAACTTTAATGACATGAGTGTGGTTGTGGATGATGAGAAGGCTGGAATACTTAGGTCCGAAGTTATTTCTGGTAAATGTATTTATTTTATTTTCTCATTGTTTAGGCCTGTAATTTAAAAGATGTATTTGCCCCTTCATAAAAAATGTAAGATTTTTAATTTAAAATTACGCTCATGTTTTATTTTATACAGTTGGTTACTATGGGAGATTTAGTTATTTAATTTGTAAGTGTAGAATAGTAAAAACAAAAACTAAGTACAGATTATTGTAAAATTACTTTTTATGCAGTATAAATAATCATTCTCATAAATTTATTTCGATAATTTATTTCTAAAAATTGACTTAAAATCTTTTTTTAGAGGATAAAACCATCACCCTCCCAAGAGACTGGATAAAAATAAACAATGAAAACTGGGCAACCTGTCAACTGATGTATGAGTGTATAGACTATCAAACTTTAGTCAATGGACTGCTCAACAATTTGGCACCACAGAAGGTCAACTTCCTCTGTGTAAGTAGACTAAAATCTCACTACTGTTTGTAAAAAAATTTTAAATATATTTTTATATAATTAAATATTAGATTAACTTCATATTTTTATGTTTTTACTAGAAATTTTGAAAGGCCTGTTTATTGGATTTTATGTTTATATATATCCATAGCTTTAAAAGAAGTTATGTTCAATTCAAACATATTTTTTTCATTGCTAGGATATGTTTTCCAGAATAGAACCAGATTATTCTTTTATCCGGATGTTTTTTGTTGAAGAATTTTCCTTTTGTTTGTGTTCCATAGGTTGAACGTGTACAAAATAAACGTTTGTATCAAAGATTTAAAACCAAGTGCACGCAAATGAAGCATGATAAGGTGAACTATCTGTGGCATAGAGCAAGAGAAGGTTGTAAATATCTGATATGTGAATATGGTTTCCACCCAGTATTCAGTGGGATGCAGAAAGGTATGAGATAAAATTAAAATTTGACAATCCACCATATAAATAATTATATTAAGTTGATAATAAATTGCTATATTCATTGCCATTTTGTAATGTTTTAAATTGTTATTAATACTGAGAGATATTTTAAAAACACAATATTTTAAAGTTAATTATTTAAAAATTAAATACATAATTAACTTAGAAAATAATTTATTTTCAAAAAGAATACAAATCAATGAAACCTTGTTCTTTAGTACAAAATAAAAATACAACATAATCTATTATACTTATTATATTAGTTGTAAATTATTTTTTTTATTGCTCGAATTTATGTTGTTTTGCAAGTGATAAAGTTTGCATTTGTATTTTCCTCCAGCCAAATACCTTGGTGATGGTGTTTTATTTTATGAACATCCAAAAGACTGTTTTGGTCCGCAAGACTTTACCAGAGATGAGACAGTAAGCTTGTTCTACTCTCAAGTCTTGCAAGGCAGAAGTGGCAGTGCCAGACCAGGTCAAAGTTCACCCTCTGGTGATAAACACACAAACCAGGCAGTTGATTCAGCCAGCTCAAATGGCCAGGTCATGATTTTCAGTGATGCTCAAGCTTATCCTGAGTTTTTAATCACTCTCAGGGTAAAGCAAATGTGATGTTTCTTTTGAAACAATGGCAAATTCATATTTTAAAGTTTATAAACTTTAAGCAAAGGCAGTTGTTGTTTTTTTTTTAATTATTTATTTTCTTGTAATTTTTTAAAATTTATTTAATGGCTGTCATAAGATTACTTTTGAGTCATGTGCATAATAAATAACCGACTTTTATGAATTTACAAAAACTACAGAAATGTGTTTGTATAGATTCGGAAAACAAACTAACCTACAGGCATACTTAAAATCCATTTTGTCACTTCCGTTTGTTTTGTAAAGACAAAATTAACTAACTTGTTCAAATTTATAATAATTTTCATTTTTAAAATTCAGAATCTATAATTTCAAAAACCTTAATTTTGTATTCCCATTTTTATTTTTTTGAGGTATTCAGTGATTTGCTGTGGATTTTGATTAAAGTATACAACATATTTATTTATCTTTTTGTTAATGTTTTTTATGAACAAAATCTTGATGATCACGATTATATTTTTTCTTAACTATGACATTTCAATAACAAAGAAATAACATGTTGTTCACATTTTAAAGTGAATGGATACTGGATTTACAGTTCAGTATAGTAAAAAAAAACTTAATACAGCTTTGTCCGGCTATGTTATAGTTGTGTCCCTTAATGATAACAAAATTATTGTTAGGCATTAAATATTTACAAATATGTTGACTGAATGTCTTTTTGTCTAAACTTTTAAATAAATTCCAAACAAGGTTTTGAAATATCCTTTTCGTAAATGTATTCACTTTCAACATATATAATTAGTTACTTTTTATTTTAGCCTGTTGGTTTAAATTTGTTTCTTTTTGAAACATCAGCAGAGCTATACAGTGAGCTATTGTCACTCTGATAAATTATATAAAAGTATTGAAAATTTAACATTTAGCAATACTTTTAAAATGTTAACTATAATGGCTTTTTAATGTAAACTACTTTTATTTAGGCAATGTTCTGTTTTTAAAAAGTTTTTTTAAACAGATTTCATTTAGAAAAAATAAATTTTATTACAAATGTAATTGTTAAATAAATGTTGAGAATTATTAGATAATTATAATTTCAAATGCTTTTATTTTGTTTTTGAAATGAACTTGGTTGTTTATCAAACCCTTTAAGAAAAGTATGATAAGGCGTGTTATAAAACTATACATAATATGGCCTACAAAATGAGTTTGGATTGTGTTGAGGTTTATTTTCTAACATCCAGTGATGCTAAGCATACAAATGATACATGCAAACATGAATGATTGTGTGGTATTATCAATAGCATCATTGAAAAATATTGTGCAATTGGTAAGTCCCTCAGTTAAGATAACAAGAGGTAACGTGATTGTGTCAAAAACCATCTATAGTCACAGTGTAGCCTAGAACCATAGTCTGTGTGTGATAGTCTGTGAGTAGGATGATAATAAAAGATTGTTTGTTTTACAGTAACCAGGGGTGTCTGTTTCTCTGTAAAACTAGAGGTGCTGTTATCATCTATTTGTATCTAAAAATGGAATAATGGAATTAAAGGGAAATTTATTTCACATATGCAAATATTGTGAAGTTATTTTTAGATTGATTAATTAGCTTTCAAGTTATATGATAAAATATTATGATTTATACTTTCACTAAGAATGTAGGGCTTATAAGTACTATATAGTCTTACATTTAGGCTCTATATTTTTAGTGGCTTTCTGATTTATATATATATATATATATATATATATATATATATATATATATATATATATATATATATATAGTTTCAATGTTAATCAGCATTTTCCTTAAGGGGTAAATGACTCTATATAGGGTCACTTGTCTATTCATGGTTGAGGATTTTTTTAAAATGGAATCTAAAAATTTTGTCTTTGTGCTCTTGAATTTATCAGTGTATTTCTTGCAGAGGGTGGTAATGTACTAATATTTTGAGAAGAAGGGCGTTTTTCGCAGTCTGAAGGTGGCATTCTTAGCTCAGAAGAAGAGTTGGTTCGTAATTAGTTTTTACTTCTTCACAATTTCAAAGTCAGAAAATACAACAAAAGTTGTGAAAAGGAAAGACTTTTTTCTGTTTCTAACAGTAGCCCTATGTCAGCGAAATTATCGTCTTTGTTTTTGGCTCCACGTTACCCCGATGCACCAGTTTTTTTAACTTGTGAGCGTAGTAGACATATTAAATAGTATTGGGATCTATAGGAAACACGAGATGAGCTACGAAATCTGGGGTCCGACATATAGGGCCCAAAATATGGGGTTCGACATATAAGGCCCAACATATGGGGTTCGACATATAGGGCCAGACATATGGGGTTTGACATATAGGGCCCAACATATGGGGTTCGACATATAGGGCCCAACATATGGGGTTCGACATATAGGGCCAGACATATGGGGTTTGACATATAGGGCCCAACATATGGGGTTCGACATATAGGGCCCAACATATGGGGTTCGACATATAAGGCCCAACATATGGGGTTCGACATATAGGGCCAGACATATGGGGTTTGACATATAGGGCCCAACATATGGGGTTCGGCCCAACATATGGGGTTCGACATATAGGGCCCAACATATGGGGTCCACATATAGGGCCCAACATATGGGGTCCGACATATAGGGCCAGACAAATGGGGTTTGACATATAGGGCCCAACATATGGGGTTTGACATATAGGGCCCAACATATGGGGTCCGACATATAAGGCTCAACATATGGGGTTCGACATATAGGGCCCAACATATGGGGTTCGACATTTAGGGCCCAACATATGGGGTTTGACATATAGGGCCCAACATATGGGGTTTGACATATAGGGCCAAACATATGGGGTCCATATAGGGCCAGACATATCGGGTTCGACATATAGGGCCCAACATATGGGGTTAGACATAGGGCCAGACATATGGAGTTTGACATATAGGGCCCAACATATGGGGTTCGACATATAGGGCCAGACATATGGGGTTTGACGTATAGGGCCCAACATATGGGGTTTGACATATAGGGCCCGACATATGGGGTTCGACATATAGGGCCCGACATATATGGCCCGAGATATGGGGTTCAACATATGGGATCTGACCTATGGGGTTCGACATATAGGGCCCAACATATGGGGTCCGACATATAGGGTCTATTGAAGCAAGGAAGACGAATCTACATAATATAGCCTATAGACCTAGTGGCCTATTACAGGTATGTAGGACCTATAGGTCAATCTATGTCTAATATTTTTTGTGTGTAATTTATAGAAAGACACATTTTCGCAGAAAAATCACACCAGGTTTAAACTTTTATGTGGAACGAGAAGGATGTGTTTAGATCGCAGTGACGCAAGTAATAATTAAAATTTATCCAGCAGAGCAGTGTAGTGTAAAAGTTACAAAGCTTTGCAGGTATTTAATCTGTGGATGTTATTTTGGCGGATTGAACTTCCAGTAACACAAACAACTTTGGTATGCAGCCAAAAAAATGCAATGCTTACTTTCATATTCAATCCTAACAAATATATTCACGTCATTATTCGAGTTATCGTTCATGAAATACATGACCTGTTTTTAATTGTTGAAACTTCGTGATTTATTGGGTAAATTGTGCTAAGTCAACCTTTACGCTGGGGGGTTTTAGTGGTAGAACTACATTCAGTAAATTGAATGGATAAGTTGTGCCTTTTAGTGGTAGAACATACATTCAGTCAATTGAATGGATAAGTTGTGTTGTGTAAAACAGGATGTGTTTCTCTCTGGATCACGACACAGTATGTAAGTAAATAATTAGATGCTGTTGTGTTTAACTTGGAAGGCCTAGTTTTAGACAGCTTAATGCAAATTTAGACAAAACAATTGGGTCAATATTTAAAATATTATTTATTTTATAACAAGTAATGGATTCACATACATTAAACCTATTAAAAATAAATTCACGACTTACTAGTTACACAGAATATATTGTTATTTTTTTATGTAAGTCTTAAAAGTGTGTTGTCTCCCATGTGTGTTGATTACCGTTCTTGGGTGTTTATCTACCGAGCAGTTTCCTACACCTGATGGAGCGTTCCTCAAACTCTAACTGTATCCTCATCAACGGTATAAGTGAAAACCTCACGGACAGCGACCTGAGGAGCGTTATATCAACCCAGTGGCACGAGCTAAAGCTAAGGGACGTGTACAGGGACGGGCAGTACCCGTCTAGGGCAGTGGCCGTGTTTCATGATGTCATAGGTCAGGCATATAAAAACAACTATCATTGTATTTAGGTGACTGCAATGTTGGGGTGGGAAGAATAGTCCATGAAATTACTGAAATGTATTTTTTTTTTTACAAAACCATTAAAACAACCTAAAATAGCGAGTAACCTTTCCTTTCCAAAAAAAAAAATGTCCTGCTGTTGTCTATGGCGGTGTGTAGCAGATGAGCTACACAAAGCTCTATCGAGATATCGTAAACCAGTTTTAAACTGTGTTGTCTAGATCTACGACTTAACACACTTGCTTAAAAAACACACTGCATATAAATAGAAGCAAGTTTACTTCCTGGTTGTGAATTCAGCTGTATCCGCGTTTTATGTGCCATTTTATAAGGAAAATTTAATTCTTTATCTTGATAAAATTCCAAACATACTTCACCAACACGGAACACAAATAGTATCAAATAAACCATTTAAATTAAAAGAAATGCGTCATTGTACCGCCCATAACTCTATGAGATTTACAAATATCATGAAAGGTTTTCAACACAAGTGCAAATAACGTTACTATTTTTAGAAATGACTTAAATGCGAAGACACAGGGTGAATTATGCATTTAATTCTTGCTGAAAGATTGCCAGCTAGCCTATTAGGTATATCTGGTTGTGAAATTTATGTTTAATGAGATTGCAAGTATTCTTGGTTCTCGACAAAAGAACATTCCCTGCTCTTTTTTATTTGTATTAAGCAAACCCGTCTTTAATATCATGTAACTTTGTCTAAAGTTAAAAGCTGAGCAGCTTAGAGAAATGTTTTAAGTTCGACCTAAACCCGTCTTATTCTGACACAGCCGCCACCCAGCCCCATTCACCCTTACTCTTTTCCATTATGTGTATTTGTTAAATTGATAACAGCAATCTCAATCTTAATTATTTATTATAGTAAAATACTCGATCATCTGTACTTATACCACAGATGCTTCGTGTGATTTAAAAGCCCAAAACCTCGGCGAGAACTGGACTGCTAGCATAATCAACCAACCTGCCGACAGCATCATTGTTGAGGCAAATCTAACAGCTGCCACCGACAAGCTGAAGATGCTCTTTTCCTGCAAGAGACAGGGTGGGAAGAAGGTGAAGTCCGTTCAACAAATCACCGCCACGATGTTCGAGGTTGTGTTTGAGGGGGGTTGGGGTAAGGTAGTTTATATATTGATTTTAATATTGTTATCAATATAATTCTAACAAGAAATATCTATGCCCAAAACTATATAAACCCTAAGAGGCACACAAAAATAAAACAAACTTCTTTCATAAAAAAAACCCAACTGCTTTAATAGCTACAATAAAGATAAACAATGCTCAAACAAATTTCTTATATTGCAATAAAAATGTTATAATAACTACGATAAAGATGATCAATTTTAGTTACCGAACACAAAAATGATAACAAGTAAACATAAAGTCTACAGCAATATTTTCGTTACAAAAACTCTTAATACTTTTATTCACTAAAGATAATTTTTAATTTAAAATCTTCTTGTTGTAGATGCAGTAATATCCGTGTGTAGTCGACAGTGGCAGGCTGAGGGCCATGTATTCACAGTTTACCCCAACTTTACATGCTTCAATGAACCAGTAAAGAAACAAAGTCCACAAGTTCTCGAACCGAAGAAAATCCCGCCTACTGTGCCGCCTAAACCCAAAATTCGACAACCGTCATTGCAAATACAGGAATCCTTGGAAGTAGATGCAAGCCAAATTGCTTTAAAAGCTGATCAAAAACCCAAATTTCGACAACCGTCATTGCAAATACAGGAATCCTTGGAAGTCGATGTAAGCCAAAGTGCTTTAAAAGCTGATCAAAAACCCAAATTTCGACCGCAGTCATTGCAAATACAGGAATCCTTGGAAGTCGATGTAAGCCAAAGTGCTTTAAAAGCTGATCAAAAACCCAAATTTCGACCACAGTCATTGCAAATACAGGAATCCTTGGAAGTAAATGTAAGCCAAAGTGCTTTAAAAGCTGATCAAAAACCCAAATTTCGACCACAGTCATTGCAAATACAGGAATCCTTGGAAGTAGATGCAAGCCAAATTGCTTTAAAGGCTGATCAAAAACCCAAAATTCGACCACCGTCATTGCAAATACAGGAATCCTTGGAAGTAGATGCAAGCCAAATTGCTTTAAAAGCTGATCCAAAACCCAAATTTCGATCACCGTCATTGCAAATACAGGAATCCTTGGAAGTAGATGTAAGCCAACTTGCTTTAAAATGTGATCCACATACAGACCACTGCAACAACGTAGATGAGCTGGCTTCAACAGAATCTAGAGACAATAGTGTTGTAACCAGATCTTTAGATACTGGTGGAAGTAGACGTTTTAAAACTATTCACAATGTGCCATCGATATTTTCACTACTTTTAAGGCAGCTGAGATTTCCACAGACCGTCCATGAAGTTTGCGTGAATATAAATATAGGTGTGCAACAAAATGAAATCAACCTGAACGGGAAGGGAAAAAATGTGAAAAAGTTTGGAGCGATGTTGGAGTGTGAAATTCAAAAAGTAAGTTCGAATTTTTTTCTTTTAATCAATTTCAATTTCTTGTTTAATTAAAAGGTTAAAACGTTGGAAGTAAAATTCTCACTTACGTAAGGGTGGTGTAAACTTTTGTATTTAAAGTTTTAAAAAAAGTTAAGTTACCTTATTTTACTAAGGAGGTGCATTGGGCAGATGAAGTAAGGTTCATATGTATCTGTGAACGACGTGCGAAGGAATAGTGCGGTCAGCATTAATCCCAACAACTTTTACTTTCATTCATTCACGTATCCATTCGAGCTGGGTGGATATGGGGAGGTCAATGGACTCGAGCCCGGGATTCAAACTCGAGACTTTCGGGTTAATAGTTGTGTGCTCTACCATCTGACTACACCGTCCCATCCTGGCATAATGGGACGTCGTTATATTGACGTCATCAATTGCGTTGCTGGGGGGTGGGTGGGGCGTCTTTTAACCAACGTTAATCGTGAGGATTTTCACCAAGTATATAACAAATACGTATTAGTATAACTATAATCGTATCAATTCACTGTAAATAGCTATACTGTTTAAAAGTGGCGAGACTAGTTTCTCATAGTTAGAAAAATTGTGCTTCTCTCAATGGGCACGTGACAGATTCAAGACTTTTACTAAATGGCTAAAATATTACACCATTGTAAGAGAACAACTCAAACATCATCGAGTCTGCAGTAGTCATCTCCCTTGATTCGGCGGAAGGGAGGAAAGTTTAGCCGACATTTTTTTAAGCATCAAAATAAATATATCACGGATATCTATTGATAAACTTGGAATAGTTATGCCCAAAGGGGATGGTGTAGCCGAAGAACAGAATCACTCAGCACAAAAAAAAACGGAATGAACTTTAGACTTAACACCCATTCCCTGAGTGTCGATAAAGGGGCCTTTAGTTAAAGCCACTATAATGACACGATGTACATCTATCTATTGTTTTACTGCTCCATTGCAAAGATAAGTTGTGTCCGCTTCTCTTCACAGCTGCACGAGTTAGGTGACGTCGTCCTCACTTTCTTAAATCACGAAGACGTCCAGGACGAGTTGAAACAGATGATCTCATCGTCCATACTCCTTGAGTTAACTGACAATGACGTCATACTGAAAGTGAAATTAAATCCTGACAACCAAACGGTACGTGGGAATATGTTAATGGCTTGTTTCTTATAATATTTTGGCGAATAGGGATGGGGTAGTTGCAGGGGCGTAGCGAGGGGGGGGGCGGGGGGGGGGGCGGATCGCACCGGGTGACACTATTTAGGGGGGTGACACCAAGGCAAAAAATAGCAAAATATATATAGAAAAACTTGAGGAGGGGGTTGCAAATCGAAAGTTTGAGGGGGGGGGGGTGCAAATCAAAAACTTGAGCGGGGGTGCAAATCGAAAGTTTGAGGGGGTGAGGGTGCAAATCGAAAACTTGAAAGTTTGTCCCCGGGAAGGGTCGCTACGCCTCAAGGGGGTGACACCATTAAGTGCCGCACCGGGTGACACTCGACCTCGCTACGCCACTTGGTAGTTGAATGGTAGAGAGTTCGATTGCTAACCCGAAATTTCGGATCCTGGACAGGCAATTCACACCCTTCTGACAGGTGATTCACATCATCCAGACTGGTGATTCACATCATCCTGACAGGTTATTCACATAATCCTTACAGTTGTTTTCCCCATCCTCTTAGTCTCACTTAAATGGCGTCGCTAGGTCGGGTGTCACCTGGTGCAGTACTTCGTGGTGTCCCCCCCCCCCAAGAAACAGTATATATATATATATATATATATATATATATATATATATATATATATATATATATATATATATATATATATATATATATACTATATGTGTGTATGTATGTGGCAGCCTACATTGGTCTATAATTTAAATATATGCCACATACGGGTACATGTATGTGCGTAAACTTTAATCACTGCTGACTTAATAATAATGATGTTTATTTATAGTCTGTACAATTAGCATTTTTTTGCCTTGGTGTCACCCCCCCCCCCCCCCTAAATGGCGTCACCCTCGCTACGCCTCTGAATCTAACAAACATTCAACATTAATAGCTTAACACACGAGCTCATAAAAAATCAACACGATGTTTAAATTCTCCACCGTTTAGTAAAGAACACTAATTAAAAAGTACACTCTATCTGCATAAAAGTAGCTAGGCAACGCAACATAAACTTGCATCAACATTCTATTTTGCAGGTTACTTTTCAAGACTTTGTAAGATCAATAGTGGAGAAGAAGAAATGTTTCACAATCCCAAACAAAGACTTCGAAAACAATCCGGAGTGGAACGACATACGGCACCGTTTTGACGCCGCCTACTCCTACCGGAAGTTGTTGATACAAGAAGAGAAAGTTGTTGTACTATCATTGGCTCAAAAAATACAAGACCTTGATTTGATTGCAAAGTTGCTTGATTTCACTTGCACAGCAATCGCTCAAAAAAAATCTTGATTTTTTTTCTCATAAAGAGGCAATGTTTACAATAGTATTTGAGTGGAGTATTTTGGTAATCTACAAATCCAAGTGGAGCTAGAGATTCAGAAAATTAGTTGAATATTGATAGGCCATACGTTTATGAACCCAGCAACACATCGGCCTATAACCAGACATGCATCTAACTCAATTTACAGGGCTAAAAAAGCGGAAGACTCAAAAAACATCTGGGTTTGAAAAATTGAAAAAGACTCCAAAAATGTTTTTGAAAGATTTGGAAAAGAAATGGGAGAAATAGCAAACTACATAAAAGCATGGTTTGGCCCGGGGGTCATCCATAAATGACGTCACGCTATTTTTGACGATTTTTACCTCCCCCCTCCCCTCTGTCACTCGTCGTCACAAAAAGCCAGATTCCCCCACCCTAAAATGACGTCATAGCTCAGTCTACAACCCCCCTCAAAATTGCTGTCGAATTTTTCTTAAAACATATTTTCCCAAAATCTTGTCAGAACTATGTCAATTGTCAACACAGAGTATTTTGATCAATTCCTATTACAGTTTATTAAAAACAGTCGAAATTGCGAAATAACGGCTAAAACTCGTTTTCTAACATTGCTTCTTTATAATGCAAAAACATGACGTCAAACCATCTGAACCCCCCCCCCTCCCCCTCATCACACACCGTCACAAAATACGGACCCCCCTCCCCCCTACGAGTGTGACGTCATTTATGGACGACCCCTTTGATGTGATGAACCCATGCCACATTGCGAGTTAAGAAAGTCGAAAAAGAAGAAGAGTTGTGGTATTTTAGAATCAGATATAAGACCAGGGTTAATGTTAAGATAACAATAGGCCTAACAACAAAAACAGCTTGGATAAAACCTGTTTGTATTGTTTTGCAATAACCTTTTTAAGTAACATGTATAGCTTACTTAATTCCTTTTATATTGTGTTAACTTTGTACAGTTGTGTTTCATTTACCATTATGTAAATATTGCTCATTGATTATTTTCAGTATGGAAATCAGTTTTCTATCAAGTGTTTCTTCAATTATTTTTTTTCTGTTATTTAAACTATATGTACATTACCCATACACATGTATGTCTTAATGGTGCTCTGAACTATAGGAAACACTTATAAGTGCGTGCTATCTTCGTTTTTATAATCATCCTCTACCGTTTGTGCCTAAGACACATGGAGCAGATAAAGTAGAGTTCATCTGTTTCAATGACCTCGACGTACAAGGAGAATGTGTGGTCAGCATTGTGCTGTCTTCCACACATTTCCAGCGGACTCGGTTTTGGGTTGCTCCCTTAATCTGTGCCCATGCAGAGGCGTAGCGAGGGGGGGGCGGGGGGGACATATGTCCCCGGGCGCCGACCTTAGGGGGGGGGGCGCCAAATTGAAAGTTTGAGGGGGGTGCAAATGAAAAGTTCGAGGGGGGGGGTGCAAATCGAAAGTTCGAGGGGGGGGGTGCAAATCGAAAGTTTGAGGGGGGGGGGTGCAAATGAAAAGTTCGAGGGGGGTGCAAATCGAAAATTTGCTCCCGAGGGGGGCGCCAAATTGAAAGTATGTCCCCGGGCGCCGGGAAGGGTCGCTACGCCTCTGTGCCCATGTGAGCCCAGCTCTTTTCGCCTCTTCTTCAACCGTTCTTTTCCATGTTTTCCTTGGCCGGCCTACCCAATTTAATCTAAATAAAAGAATTTCTAACACACTGTACTAAAAAATGTTATGCATCGTAAATAATTTCGGCAAAATTTTTCTCAGCTAAAAATAGTTTGATTGTGCCAAAGCCAATGTTATTGTATGGAACAGGTTTCTTTACCTCAGCTCTATGCAGGGATAGTGTAGTCTGCTTTAATGCCCAGGTAGGCAACTCGTCAGCGCGGGGTGGACTCAGGGACGTTTATAGAAACACGCGGAAACTCATTAACGCAGCTGATGACTTAATGATGTACAGCTTGGGCGAATGCAGTGTTTCTTCCAGACTTTTTTCTCCGGGGGGGGGGGGCGGACACTGTTAAAAGTATATATTTTCTAAATAAATTCCATTTCGTTCAAGGGGGGGGGGGCGGTAGACTTTCTTGGGGGGGGGGGGGGGGGGCGGGGCCACCTCGAAGAGATGTATGGAAGAAACTCTGGGTGAATGTATGATAACAATTAAATCGATCTGTGACTGACATATATTGTAGTAATAATGACAATATCCTGAAGGTATTGGTTAAACAACCGATGCAAAGATGCTAAAATTACTCTTTCGAAGTAAATTAACACTAATGACAAAAATCAGCCTCGTTCTTGTCTGGTTCTCGTGTAAACGCAAATAAGGCGATGACGTATGCATGCGGTGACTTATCTACATTGGACTTTAGATCTGCTATGGAACTAGAATTATTGATTTTCAGTTTATTAGACTCTCAGAGATGAGTTGTAATTTTTTTCCTAGAAGGAGCTTCTCTACCCTTATTTCCCTTCCTCTGTCTTCGCCTCTTGTTTAGCTTTTAAATAAATGGGGAAAAATTGTTTAAACAATAGAAAAGAAATAAAAAGCTCAAAAGGGGATGGATTGGACATAGAATTTCTACCTTGCGAAAACCAACCAGCAACATCGCTAGACGGGCATTAGATTGGAATTCCCAAAGAAAAAGGAAAGTAGGTAGGCCAAAATAAACTTGGAAAAGGTCAGTTGTAGCAGAAGCAGACGGAATGTCGTCGAACCAACTTGGAGAAATCGCTCAAAATCAAGTATGAGAGAGGTCTTTTGCGTCCCATCACTATCAGTGTTTCTTTCAGGCATCTCTTGGGGGGGGGGGGGGTGATTGTATAGAAAATATATAACTTTACCAGTGCTGGGGGGGGGGGGAGGGTGATTGTATAGAAAATATATAACTTTACCAGTGCTCGCCATTTTCTCTCTCCCCCCCCCCTCCCCGCTCCGAAAGTTTCAATTGCACTTTTGAAATTTACTGGATTGGGAGGGGGGGGGCGGACTTCAAAATTAGTAGACACAGGACAACAATAGGGGTAGGCTAAAGTGTGGAGTTATTTTCTTGGGGTGTGGAAGAGGACCTCAAACCTTTTTTGACGAAGTGGGACGATACGGCGGGGAGGGGTGGAGATCTAAAAACAGGCAAAAATAATTAGCCCTATAAGACAGGGGTCTCCAATCTACGGCCCGCGGGCCGGATGCGGCCATGCCGGCCCGCGAAGTCCTCTCATCCGGCCCGCGGAGATGTTTTTGTCCAACGAAAAATCGTTTGTCGGTGATTGCTGAGGAACTTTGCCCAGAGATATGAAAGACATGCCTGGAAAAAACTGGCCCCCGAACTGAAATTTGATAGTTAGTGCGGCCCTCGGACTGAAAAGTTTGGAGACCCCTGCTGTAAGATAGCGTGAAGTTTTTTTTTTCCCCCTCTGCCCCTACTGTGTTAAAAGTAAAGGCGTATGCGTAAAAACACATGAAACAATAATTTAAAAAGTATCACTTTTTAGTCTGAGTTACTGACTTATCACATTAAATGTTTTCTACTGTTTTATTTTTACAGATTGTCATTTTAAACTGTTAAATATTTTATTATTTGTCATCTACAACATTGTAATTGTTTGTTTCCTAATATTATTTTTGCTTTCAGAGCGATATTTTTTGTATCATCTAAAAGTTTAAAAACTTCAATGTATGTTTTAGTCGAAACACGATCTATTTATTGGACTGTAAACACAGTAAACGAGAAAAGGATAATCATTTTTAGATCTATGCTCTTTATCAACCAATACATATTTAGCCTAATACTTTTAATTTAAAAAATGCATTTCTTTGACAAGTTTTGTATTTTAACATTCTGGTGCTTTTTAACTTTTAGTATTTTTAAAACTATTGCAAAAGACATGCATGAACCAAGTGAGTGTAGTGTTTGTTTACTACTCTAGTGACTAGTTTTTAGTTTAAGTTTACAAAGTTTAAAAATTAATGAAATTGATCGTTTTAGGTACGTAAATTGGCCGAGACTAGTAATGTGAAAAAAGGTGACTCATTAAATTTTAGTAATTAATTAGGCATATTTCACATTTTAACGAGGATTTATGCCATGATCATGGTTTGAAAGTTACAAAAATGGGTAATCTATCGTTTTGGGTACGTAAAATTGCCCGCGATTTGTAATGTGAAAAACAGGTGACTCCTTAAATTTTAATAATTATTTCACATTTTGAGGAGGATTTATGTTTTAAAAAATTCAAAAATCTTTCCTTGATTCATTTATGTACCTGTTTTTAAACAATTGAATTAAAACTTTTCCGTAATAACTGAAGACTAGCGATGTTTCCAACAGATGCAACCATGCTTATTTACTATAGCAGCCATCTTGTCCAAGTTTTATTTTTATAAGCTTATAGCGCCAGATTCAGGGGGAAGTCACTCTATTTTACTAATGGCTGCTGTTTATATAGCAAATCTTGCTCTCAGACACTGCTGTTTAAAGTTAATTTCTGGCCCCTATCGATATATTTAGCCATTGATTTAGGTTTATTATTCATTTATCTATAATATTTGACACAAACATATGACAATAAACTTCTATTAAAGCCTTGACAATGAGGTAACGTTTTCGTGCATAAATAGCCGCGGGCGATTTTACGTACCTAAAACGATAGATTACCCAAAAATGTTTCAAAGTTTGATTAATGTACCTGTTTTTAAACAATTGTATTAAAACTTCTCAGTAATAAATAAATAAAAGCTAGTACTTTTTTCATCAGATGCATCCAAGCTCATTTACTTTAGCAGTCATCTTGTTTAAGTTATTTTTGGTAAACTTATGGTGGGAGATTCAGGGGAAGCCACTCTAATTTACAGATGGTTGCTATTTATATAGCAAATCTTGCTTGCAAACACTGCCGTTTAAAGTTAGATTCTGGCCTATATTAATATACTATATACTTCGTCATTGATTTTGGTTTATTATTCAGTTATATAAAATATTTGACACAAATATATCACAATATATTTCTATTAAAGCCTAAACAATGAGGCAACTTTTTCGAACATTACTACCCTCGGCCAATTTTACGCACCTAAAATGATAGATTACCCAAATACTTAGTTATCATTAGTTTGACCAACTGACACTTAGGCCTAACTCATTATTATTAATTAATAATTATTAACTGAGTTGACTGACAACCAGTTTATATTAACAAATTTTATATGAGCCTAATGATAAAATTACAAAGTTTGTGTTTTTTTTACTTTTGACCTTCTTTGACGTTGAGTATTTTTCTCCTAACAACTATTATTAGTACTTTAGCTTACAACTAAAACTATAGTAGTATAGATAGGTTCTAAATAAGATAGTATTAGTATTTTAAGATGTTATTATTTTGGTCCAGGGGGGGGGGGTCGTCTTTACCATATCATGTCTTTTAAAACTATTTTTAACTCCAACCCCTACTCATCATTACACACACAATGGTATCACACAATTTTTTTTTTACTTTTAAAACAGCAGTTTGCTTATAAAATATTGTTTCCTGAGCTTTTCCAACTTTGAGTAAATGAATTAATATTTTAATCTTAAAAATGCAAACAAACTGCTGAAATTCACTTTCTTCACATTTCATTACAACATTTGGAAACCCTCCCTCCCCCTTTAAGAGTGTGACTTTATTTATAGATGGGCTCCAGCGTGTAAATAGTATTAATAATTAATATTGAATATAGTATCCTACTGAATACAAATACTTATATATAATTTATATAATATTCTTACCCCCCCCCTCAAAATTAATATGTTAATTAATCCATTTTAGTAGGCCTAGTCTTTATAACATCACATGAATTGTCTAGCTTGGGGAAAGTAGATAGGTTATTTTTATAAATATTAATTTCTTTGAATTTTACTTTATTGGTTCATGAATATCTAGATTTTTGTTTAGTGTAATTAGTTTCAAAACTTTAGTTTTTCCTTGTTTTTTTTTTCACTTAGACTTTATAAATCTTTGATATTATTAAATATTTCCACACAATCTATAGTTATCTTACATTTTGAACAGATTATAAAAAAATAATGTATGGTGGTGTTTGGAAACAAGTGACCCCTCAACCCTCAATGCAATATGATGATGTAATTCAAGCAAGCAAGGTGACATTATTTATTTATTTTATATAGTTACTCTATATAAATTATCTATAATTATACTACAATATTATTTTACAAAAAAATGTTAACTCAAAAGATGAGTTTAATTTTTTCCGTAACATCGCTCATTTTTCAAAGTGCTTGTATCACAAAGGAATTTTCTGCATTAAAATTAATTGAAATGCCATTAATCCATTCCAGCCCCCAAAATACCACCCCAGATGTTTTTTTATATATTTTTTATAAATAAAAAAAGTATATTTATACATGACAAATATTGTTTAATAAGATAATATAGGATAGTGCAAAGAAATAAATTGGTTTTATTAAGAATTTAACTTGAAAATCTGCTGACTTGAGCTTAGGGAAGATGGCTGATGGAGGTGTAGGCGGAGAGTAGAAGAGATAGGCCAAAGAGCTTCACTTTTTCACTTACTCATTGTTAAGTTTTTTTTACTTTAATTCACTTACTTGTTACTCTTAACACTCCACTTTATCCCTAAACTTGTATTTCAAGGTACCACTGTATTTAAACATGCTTAGGTAGTTTACAATTTTAAGAACTAAACCATAATATGCTAAACAATTAGCACAGCTATGAAGAAATAATGTATCATTTGTTTTTCACAATTTGTTTCAGCATGCAGTACCTTATATCACAAAGAGGCATCCTGGTGAACCTTCCCAAAATTTTACCATTAGATGCCTCAGCAAGATGGTAATTACATTATTTAAATAGCTATTCATTAATTGTATCTCATTAAAACGTATCAGCATAAACATATTGGAAGTTTTAAAAAGATGATCATAGCTTACCTGCAAGTAATTAGTATTCATTAAAAAATTTAAAATATTTGTTTGAATACTTAAATTTGTCAGACTTTAATTATAATATAAGAATAATTTTAGTTAAGAAAAATCCATGCTTTTTTAACTTATTTGTTTGAAGGATCTCTGGTACTCAAAGTCTGAAAAGTCTCCACTCACTGTAACCATGATGGTCACTGACATTAATGGTAATAAACACCCAGTGTCTGTCCCTGTTACTTTTGGAAAAACTTACACTTTTCAAGTTATCTTCAGTGGCAATGAATCAACCATGTTTCATTTTATAACCCTAACAAAGACACCTGATTCTGATGTGTTTTATGTGTATTCTCACACATTTCACAATGCTGATTGGTTACACCTTAACCAAATGAGCCATGGATGCCTTAATAGTACTTCAGATAGACAGAGCAAGTTACACGTACTATCTACTCTGGCAAAGCACAGGGAGATGTGGTTTCCTTCAGCGGACGAATGTGTTTTGTTGAAAACAGATCTGAACAGTCCAACAGGTGAGATTCATTCAAGTTTGAATAAAGATGTGTCGCACGATGACAATAGCAAGGAGACATTGAATGTAAAGACAAGTATTTCTGTGATGAGTTACAATATATGGAATTTCAATACATATCATCAAAAAAGTGAAGAATATCCTCAAAGACTAAGTTCTATTATAAAGGTAATAAATGGTATTAAAATTGATTTTAGGTTTTGTGATGTTTTAATTTTAAAATTTAAAACATTCAGAATTTGTTGGCTATTTAATTTATAAAAATGTTTATCTCTTCTAGGTAACAAGCATTATTATTCTATGCACATATTCACAATTTATTTACTAAGTATAATTGATACTTCTTTTGTAAAGTTAATAGAGTTTAAATACAAAATGTATTAAATGATAGAGGTATGATATTAGTTTTAAAAAGAAAACAAAAATTAATTTTAAAATGCTGTTTATTTCACTTGATGAGATAAGTTTGTTTCTCATTGTCTGTTATGAAGCTTTAGTTTTTTTAAAACTCAATTTTGAGCAGAATTTATTGTTTTTTGTATCTGCAGTTATTACACAAGGCTAAGCCAGATATCATTGGATTTCAAGAAATTCGTTTTGAAAATCATTTGGGGGAAAGTTTAGGCCCTAGTCAGATGGATCATCTTGTATTTAAAATGCCAGAATATCAGGTAAGATTTTGATATAAGCAGATATGAAAATCTATTTCCATTCTTTTTTATTATATAAAATAGTGAATGTATAGTAGACAAATGTATGTCTAAATGAAAAAAGAATGAAAGTGAAACTTAGATTTTGAGGGAAATAAAGAAAATGTTATGTTATCAACAGGTTAATTTCATTTTTAATGTTCTACCTTTTTTTTTAGTTTGTTTTTCAACCAGCACAAATGCATGGGAACAGCTTAGAGCAGGGTAGAACAGAGGAAGGTGTGGCAATCTTCTCCAAATTTCCAATAATACACCATGAGTATTTGCTTTTGTTCAGGTATGTTCTAGCTAAGTTACCAAAAAAAGTAAATGTTAGATATTTAAATTAAATTTGTAGCACCTGATATTAAATAAAATTTGTAATATCTGCAAGAAAACTTAAAGTCTTATTTAATCTGTTTGCCAAATAACTTCAAGAAAAGACTAGGAACATGACCATCTAGGAATTACAGGTATTTTCTAAAAGCTACTTGATAAGAATCCTGCAGATTCATTGGTCAGCCAGTGTAATAACACTAACCTCAGACAAATAACCTTTCAACTCATTGATATAGATTGGATACTCTCTGTGTAATCACCTACCAAAATCACCTATCAGGCACTAATATGGTAGATGGAGTAGAGACAAGCCAAAAACTCTTGGGGATGAAAACGTAAGCCATACACCATCAGCTGGTACCAGCTGTAGAGAATTCCCTTGGACAGAGAGGTGGAGTTGGCATCCTGTCCTCGCAGAGGGGTGATGGGAAATGATGAATTCAGTCTATTGCTTAATTCTAAAGGTGTTATTTGAAATGTTTTTAAAACAGGGCTAATTTGTAATATTCAGTACAATGGCCTGTGGAAAATGAAAGAGCAAAGAGGAAACTGGTCAGATGCTTAACTGATCTGGTCTTAAATTGTTTTTTTTTTTAAATTTTGTAATTATGACAGAACTGTTGACTCATAAAACATAAAAATTTAGTGCAGTCCAATTTTAAATTATAAAAATTTTGTTTGGTCAGGAACCACAGCAACTCGGCAGACAAGAACCAGAGGGTGTGTTTACATGCTGTAATAGAAGTCCCCTATTTTGGGAAGGTAACTATAATATTACCTTATATAAAAACATTGTATTACCATTGTAAACTTGTCATTCTTAAATAGCATTAACATTCAATGGCCCAGTATAAAGTTATAATTTTTTTACTTGATTTATAAGTTTTAAAACGTGAATAATTGGTATTGGCTAGTTGTAAATTATGAATTAGCGGTTGTCACAAATGCAAATGACCTCATATATCTAATGATTAATGGATATGTCAAAATTTCCCAGCTACACATCTTTAACACTCACTTCTCCTTGAGTCATGAAGCAAGAGAGGAATCTGTAGCACAGATACTACAGTATATGAAAAGATATGAGGATGAGCCTGCTATATTTATGGGTGACCTTAACGCCACACCAGAAGAAAAAGCAATCAGGTGTAGAATTGTAAATTATAAATTTCACTATATGATGTATAATGTATCTTTTTGTTTGTTTCTTATATTTGTAAATTTGAAAAACAAATGTTTTAATGCTTGAAACAAAAAGAAATCATACCCAAAAGCAAGAGTGTCTGTATTATGTTTTCTTTAAAAATAAATTGTCTTTTAATTTCTTCTAGAATGTTGACAGACAAGACAGGACTGGTGGATGTATGGGATATATTACACCCCAGTGATGACGGGTTTACATTCAGCAGCTTAGAGAAACCTTCAAAACGAGTAGGTTTCCTATTTTTGCCTGATTGTATTAAATACGTTTATCTGATGTAAAATATCGTTTCAAAAAATGCCTACCCTTAAAATCAAAACTACCTAATAAAGCTAACATATATGTTTTTAACCATTCATGTCAAAATTTAGATAGATTACATCTTTATGAAAAAGACAAACATGTTGAAAGCTGAGGAAATTAAAATTCTTCCTGATGAAAGAGGGTATGTTTGACAATTTTTATATTGTAAATACAAATCCGAAAGTCAACTTATTAAAACCCATATATTTTTACAAATACAACCACAGTAATCATTAAAAAAAGATTCATTACTGATCTGGCTTATTTTTTAGATGTCTGTCCGTGAATCTTGTGACCATCTGGTTTCATCTTTTAAAATTTGCTTTAGCTCTGTTTAAGACTTAACGTTTTTCTGTATTTCAGGCCAAATGCTGCTTCAGACCACAGGGCACTAATGGCTTCCTTCAAGCTTGCTACAGACTAAAAATTTTGCAACAGGTTTTGAAAGCATATGTTTTTATTGTTAATTAGAAAAAAACCTTCTCTATAAGAAAAAATTTCTGTCTTAATTTATGTTGTGCATTGAATCTCATTTATGACTTAAAATGTTTCTGTTGACACTGAATATTATTTGCTCAGAATTTACTTTATATTAATCCTTATGTATTTTCCTGATGTTAAACGTAAGACAAGTGCATTTACTGAATTTTTTTTTTTTTAAATTCACCTCTTAATTATAATTTAAAAAAAAAAAAAGAAATTTGTTTTATTAATGCAGCCATGTTACAAAGCCATTTGCAAATTCAGAAGAACATTTTGAAAACCTTTTTAAATTGTAAAAATTTTAATATGGTGTAGTTTTTGCACATGTAGCCAACATTTGTTTGAAACACATAAAGAATTCTAAAAATGCATCTCTAACTGATGGACGGCTAAGGCATTTTGTGGGTTGTTGCAATTTTTTTTTCTAATTATTTTCATTTATCATTTAAAAATGAACAATAATTATTCTAGGGGGATGTTTTGCATCTTTATATAATAAAGAAATAAACTATGCTATTAAATTTCTCAAATGTAAAAAAAAATTGAGCTAATATTGTACAACTTATGTAAAAAAAATGGACAGTTGTTTAACTTCAAATTGCATTTTTTAGTGTTATATTAACTTACATAACATAATTTTTTACGCTTGTTAATTTTATTGTTAAATATCAATTTTTTTTTTTTGTTTTTAAACTGTTGGTAAACATTTAAATCACTATGAATTGTACACCATTTGAATTGTTTGATTGCTTTGTTTTTTTTTTTTAAATAAGATTATTATGCTGTTGTTTTTTGTTGTTTCTTTTGGTAATACAACTGTGATATTAAACTGAATTCTTCTTTGTCGGTTAAATAACTGAATTATTCTTTTCATAAATAACAACAACACTAGAAAGAGAAATAATCATACAGAAAAAAGGTTTTGCTGAGCAATTTTAATTTCACATAAAAATAACAGACACACCCTAATTACATACTTAAAATTAGAACAAAATAAATGAAATATCAAAATCATAAAAAAGCTTAAGATAAGAATCAATATAAAAAATCATTTACCTATTTTCTATTGCATGTATATTTTTCCATTAAATAGCATAATGCTTAACCAAAAATATTTTTCTGATTGTGATTAGACTTTACAAAATAATTTTTACACATAAAACTTTGCTTATGATTTATGGTAAATAATCTAATGCCACTTACACTGTTAACACAAAGCACTGACCCCCTTGGACTTACACTATCTTAGCTTTTCTTTTAGTAAACCAACATTTTAAAACAAAGATATTTATAATAAAGAAATCCCATCTAAAATCTTGAAAACTGATGAAAAAATATATATTTATATATTTATTCTCACCAAGCTCTTAGTATAGGCACAAATGTGGTTTTCTTATTAATTATAACTAAGAATTTATGTGGAAAATAGTTGACTGAACTATCTTAAAAAACAAACAAATAATTCCTTAACTTACAGAACTAATTTAAGAAAGTAAGAAAAAAAACAAGTATTTAAAAAAATGCTTGCTACAAAGAAGAAAAGAAAAGGTTTTAAAACATGTACTTGGATGTAAACAAAACTGGCCTTAAGTGTAAGAACAAGATTCGATTGTCAATAAAAATTTTAATAAATGTACAAAGCAAATATGTGTATGTCATGTGTTTTAAAATATCTTATTTCTAAAAAATTAAATTCATACTGAAAGAAGAAATTATAAAAGAAAAAAAAACAAACCAAATAAGAAAGATTAACTTTTTTTTCTACAATGTATTAAATCAAAATGTATATTTAAGTAGCAGAAAACATAAAAATTTGAATTTATCTTTTAAACTACCAAAAAAAAAATAACATAATGCAAACAGATAGTAATTAAAAACCTGACAAATTATATATTGTTGAGAAATGAAAAACTTAAATCTTCTACCATCAAAGTTAGGTTCAATTTACATTTGTGTATTCAAATGGATCAGTTTTTGTGATATTTTCTGATCTTACTAAAATTTAAAGTATTTTTTACAACAATCAAAACAGAAATGTCAATATATTTTTATTTTAATACAAAAACAAAACACCTGTTATCCAACCAGCCTAGTGTTACTTAATAAAAGTTATAACCAAGCAGATGAATTTGAAAATACACAAACATTGGTCATCATTACAAAACAGTTCTTTTGTTAATAATAGCCTACTTTCCATGTTTATTTCCCTGTAAAAGAGATTAGAAAATGTAAATCAATAATATATACAAAAATTTCACTTTGAACAACTTTTTTTTACTCACTGCATGAAGTAATATACATCAAAATTAGAGTCCAAAGATAATTATGAAAGCAGTTTTTCTAATTTTTGTATTTTCTTATAATGGAAAAAGGGAATAAATACAATAAAGTAAAATATTTTTAAAAATAACATACCTTCAACTTATCTAGCTCTGCTTTCATTGAGTGATTTTTTGATTTTTCCTTTTCCAATTCTGCAGTCAAAGATGTCACCTAGACAAAGGAAAAAGACTAAAAAATTAGCCACAACTGAACATTGCAAGTCACAAAAGTAGCATGCAGAACAATTCTACAAATCGCAACTACAACCAAAAGTCTTTACATTAAATAATAATTAGTAACTGAAATAACATTTTACCTGGTCAGTAAGTTCATCTTTGACTGCTGTGAGCTCATCTACTTGTAAAAGTACTTGAGCTTTATCTTTCACTAAAGTTAATTTGAAAAATATATTACCTTACAGCAACGCTGAACTCATAAATAGTTCCATTTATAAATTTTAATTGAACTAAATGCAATAAACTACTTGCAAATTTATTTTTCTTAATTTAAAATATATTTTATGAATCAAGGCAAATTTTGGCTTCCTAAATTTCAAATAATGCATTTCTTTTAAAATGCTGCTTAATAATGTGATTACAATACAAAAGTGAAACTATTTTAAACCTCTTTATTTAACACAACATTTTGAATGCTTCACACTTTAACTCACAGCTATAGACCTAAATCAACTCACTTTCTCCTTGTGCTAAAATAACACAGAGCTGTTTGTTTCTTTTCTTGACCTGCTTCAGCTCAGCCTGGAATGTCAGACAGCAAAACGTTACAATTAGTTTTTTTATAATATTACTCTGGACATTTATACTCAGCATTCTTTTAAGATAAATAATAGTAGTTTTTTAAATACTGACCTCCATATTCTCTATTTGTTTCTGTGCCTCTGTTAACTGATTTTCTTTCTTTTCTAAATCATTTTTAAGCTTTGCAACAATCACATTGTCTGAGGCATATTGCTGGTTGACAAAAACATAATATGTTAAGGGGGGACAGTCATGAAATTTATTGAAATACCATTTTTTGCACAATTTAACTATTTTACAGAAAATAACTCATTTATGGCATTAGTATATATGTTTAATACACTTTGGTGTACAAAATTTTTCATGGTAATCGTTAGCCGATTAAATTTGGCGGGAAAAATGTACATTTTTTACATACAATTTTTAAAAAACTTTTCCTCAGTAACTATCTATAATTTCAAGTCCAACTTTTGGATTTAGATAGTCCACATGCATGTGACAAAATCCATAGAAGAAAATTTACATATTTGCAGAAACTTTTTTAATTATGAATTTTCTACTAATGACTAATTAATTTTAACCTATAAGGTTTGCAAAAAATTTTGTATAAAAAAAAGTAATGAAGATAGCTCAATTATTCATCTGCTTGTTTTTTCAACAGTGTGTTATGTAGCTTCAGCAGAAATTTCATGTAAATTGAACAAGTAGTTTTTGAGGAAAATGTTTTTGAGTGTTCAAAAATGTAAAAAAATACATTATTGAGAAAACGCTAAAAACGTAACAAAAATGGAAAAAAAAGCTTTTTTCATTAAAAATACAATGTAAAGAGCTATTTTAAAAGCTTTATCAACATGTTTATGATGATAATTTCATCATTAGTAGTAAATTAAGTAAAAACTGATTTTGTAAAAAGGGTTTGAAAAAGACTACATATATTGATGGAAATAAAAAATTTAAATTAAAAAAAAAAAAAAAAAGTTTTTACACTAATAAAACTAACTTAGCTTAAAACAAATAACAATTTAGAAGGCTCCAGAACTGTATGAAGGCCCTCCCTCCAGCTTCTCAAACTCCTGTTGGGCTTTTGAGCTGGCGAGATCATTCTGGACCTTCTCCTTTTGACTTCAGCTGACGCCTTTCATTCAGCACTGTCAATCCTCCTCTTGTCATGCCTTGCTGCTTTGACTTGAGAAGAAGTGGCATAGGAACAGCCAATGGCATCCATAAAAGCAGCCAGATGTTTACTGCCACCATTAAACTCACTGACTGATCTCAACGCCATAAGATTTGCGCACCAGGTCAATAGCTGTGTCAAGACTGGCGTTGGAGAAATTTTTTGAAGAAATTGATATTTTGTTCAGGATATTGCGGTATGATGACTCTGTCATTCCTTCAATGGCCATGGCATTGCAAAACTTATCCACAGCAGCATAGCCTAATCCTATGTTGAGGAAAGCAGCGACAAATTTCTTGTTGATATCATAACACCTGTCGCTGCTACTCATATTGGAGCTTGATCCTGCTGCTATGGAGTTGCACACTGCAGCTGACTTGCAGTTGATGTGCTAGACCCTTGCGTCCAGTCAAAATAAGTTGCAAGGGCCCTTGACATGTACTGCACTGAGCTGCCGAAAAGAGGGCGTTTACTTCAGCCAGGTCTACAATGACCAGCCCTCCAACTGTAGTAGCTTGAGGTGCTTCACATTGAGAAAACATGCTAAGTTTTCTCTTGGAGGCACTGACCACTGTGGGGATGGTTGTATATCCAGTAGTAGGAGTAGTGGCAGCAGTGGGTGTAGTGGCAGCAGTGGATGCAGTGGCAGCAGTGGATGCAGTGGCAGCAGTTGATGCAGTGGCAGCAGTGGGTGAAGTGGCAGCAGATGATGCAGTGGCAGCAGTTGATGCAGTGACAGCAGTGGGTGAAGTTGCAGCAGTGGGTGAAGTGGCAGCAGTGGATGCAGTGGCAGCAGTTGATGCAGTGACAGCAGTGGGTGAAGTGGCAGCAGTGGGTGAAGTGGCAGCAGTGGATGCAGTGGCAGCAGATGATGCAGTGGCAGCAGTTGATGCAGTGGCAGCAGTGGGTGAAGTGGCAGCAGTGGGTGAAGTGGCAGCAGTGGATGCAGTGGCAGCAGATGATGCAGTGGCAGCAGTTGATGCAGTGGCAGCAGATGATGCAGTGGCAGCAGTGGGTGAAGTGGCAGCAATTGATGAAGTGGCAGCAGTGGGTGAAGTGGCAGCAGTGGGTGAAGTGGCAGAAATTGATGCAGTGGCAGCAGTTGATGTAGTGGCAGCAGTAGTTGTGCTTGAACCAGCAGCCTCTGGATCTGCAGTAGATCCTGCAAGAGCTGATTTTTGCTGCTTGGTAGCACAAGCCTTAGCCAATGTACTTCAATGCAGCCTTCTGCTTTCTGGAAGCCTGTCCCTTTTTTGCATACAACTTTTGTGCAGGCATTGTAGATCTGTAAAACAAGTCATAATAATGTATAAGCTGTTTTAAAAAAATAATCACAACGTACTAAAAGGTATGCACATTATCTGCATACATTGATTACATTCAGCCTTTGATACTGATTACTGATAGCTAGGCTAAGAGCCTAAGACTAAGATCTAGTTTACGTAATAAAGTTACTAGATCTACATCAAAATCTACGTAAAATCTGGCATCTAAGATAAAACTATAGTTTATACTTTGATAAAGGAATAGAAATAATTGAAAAATTCATAATTTACCTTCAAATAAATTCCAGAAACGAAAAATAATTCAAAAAGTAGAAAGTGAAAGTTGTTGCAAATATATCTACAGCTCGGCTAAATATAGCATCTCCTAGGAGACCGCCGAAACTTCCTGACAAAAGTTAGAAAAATTGAGCTTGGCGCACGGTATTTTTAGACAGAAGCGTCATGTGACATCTATTGACCAATAGATACATGACTCTTCCCATTTTGAAGCACACTTTCATTGCGTGTTTTGAAATACTATATTTAGAACTAGGTCAATGTTCTTAGGCTAGCTAGACTGACCTCGAAATTCCGCGCATTTTGATATATGGTAAGCTAGGCTTACTACGGTGTGTAGATCTCGCTACACATCGTTGTGATGGGCGTATATCGGGGTGAAATACATTTTTTTACACACACACACCCACTTCAAATGCAAAAACAAGTGTAAAAACTATATTTTATTGTAAATTTGATAAGTATATTATGTTTATAAGTGGTTAAAGTAATAGAAAAAAATTAAAAAAAAAAAAATGAATTTTCCGAGGTCGACCATGATTTTTCAAGCTTAGTTCATCGATGCGCCCCCTTAAGCGAAATCAAAACATTATAAACTAAATACAGAAGCTTAAATACATGAAATAACCTTTTGTAAAGAAAACTGTTATTCTGAAATTATTCATTTAAAGCAAAAATGTGATAATTACTAGATTATAAGTTAAACTTACCTTACGGTATTCCTCTTGTATTTTTTCTTGCCTAAGTATATGCTCAGCATCATCCTCGACAGAGTTGAAAAATTTGGAATCTTGCAAAGGAAGTGGAACACGTGTTTGAACAGGAGGAGTCTGCGGCCTGCCATTGACCTCATCTGTTTACAATTTTAAAAACAGTAACAGCTGACACAACTTTTAAAAGTTCTATTTTTTAAATTACTGTTTCACAAATTGGAAAAGACTTGAGTTTTTAATTTAAAATGTGTTTGAAACAGCTTATCTTGCATTCAATTTCTGCATTGTGAAATATGTAAAAATATTATGAAACACCAAAATAAGACTATTAAACATAAATGTAAAGTATATATTAATCTACCCTCTGAATCAGAGCCTATAGTTTTCTCAGGTGGCAACTGCTTAAACTGTTCTAAAGACATGGCTTGTGGTTTTTCTTTCTGTTTCTTCTTTTTCCTTCCTTCCTTTGTTGTTGGTGCCTCTAAACCAGCCTCAATTCTTTGCTTCTGCTTCAAAGCTTCCTATAAATTACATATTGCTGCTAACAAAATCTCATGATGTTTATGATAATGATTAAAGCTATATTATTCAAATTATTACCAAAAGGTAGTCACTGCTTCAGATGCAAAGGTTATATTAAAAGGATTACCTGCTGCTTTTGTTCTGCCTCAATTCTACTCTGTAATAGAGCAGCAGCAAGATCATCTTTGAATTTTTCTTCTACTAACTGAAATCATGAAAATAAAATAGGCATCAGTTTTTGCTAATTAAAAAATTATTTTCTATATTTTATGTATCAAGGTTTGTGAGATTAATTTTATGATTGTATCTCCTTTTCATAGATTATTTTGCAAAATTTCACAACTGACAAAGTCTAATAAAAGATCACCTCTTTGTCATGCTCTTTCCACTGGTCCCAAGCTTTTTTCTCATTTCCTCCATCACCAGTGCCATTTCTTGGCAGTTTTCCAGAAGTTTTCCCAAAAGCAAGACTCTTTAGCTTGAATATATACAACACATAAATTAAACCTAAACAAAATACGCCTAAATATTATTAAATATTCATACAAAAATAGTTATGCTATGTTTATTTAATAACTCTACCTTATTTAATAACTCTACTAAACAAATAACTGCAACAAGTTTTAAAATCAGATAAAGATTTCAGCATTGAAATCAGTAATAAGAATGACTTAAAAAACCTCAAAACCAGTGACAAGTGTGCAGCATACTTAACCAACACACAAAAATAAAAACCTACTTTTAAAAAATATTTTGCTCTTAGCCAGTTAGATTGGAACAGGGTTAAGATTCAACAATTCCTCTAACCCATGCTACCAGCCACTAAACAAAGTGATTACCATCTGGACCTTTTTTCTCCCTCAGTGCATCACACTTCTTGGTTTAGACATGTGTGGGTGAGAAGGAGTTTGGTAAGGGTTCAACCTCACTGGGTTCTAAACTCAGGATTTTTTTACTTAGCAAGGGTGCTGTCTACTGTTAGGCCCCTTAAGTTAACAAGCCCATCTTATCCGTGATTACAAAGTGAATATCTTAACCAAAATAGTCACAAATTTTCACATTGTTTTCAAAGGTTTTGTAAGAAGAATAACTTTCTAAAGGAAGTTTTTAAAGATAAATATATTCAAATCTTATCTTTGGCCTAAGCTATTATTTCAGAAAGGCTAATTAAGGGATAACTTATTTTTAAAAAATAGTAATGTTATGTAGAATTTTTGAAAAATAAAAAACATAAACTAGAGCTAAAGGTTTTTGACCTACAAAATCATTAATTTCCATAGTAATTTTTCAAGAAGCTGTGAATTTCTAATTATTTATTTAAATTACAGCAACACCCTTATCACTAATCATAGGATTCTGATTTTTTCTCCTGCTACGATTTGCCTTACATTTGTGTCTAATGGGACTATTACTTCCTTAGCTTAAATTTACAAAGGCTAAAAATAATTGGCAATTACACTACCAATAGCAATTTCAATGTAAATTAGTAACTTAGAAAAAGCTTATTTTAAAAAGACATGTTTTTGAATGGCTACTACTAACAAACATTAAAGCAGAGTGAATTGACATTTTAACGTGATTTAACCAATGTTTTTTAATTACTCTTTATCTCACAGAGTTCCAGAACCCACTGGAAATACCGTAAACCATATTTTATTTGGCGTCATCTTTTTTTTAATACAGAATATTTAAAAATTTTGATAGACTGATTTAATTTCATGTTAAATACTGTCGTTTGCAAATCATTTTGTATTGCTAATTATTTTTTTGCTAGTTATTGATGCTACTAAACCTTGTTTTGTTAATTTTTACTGAAGGGTAAAACAGAGCACTGTGTGGTATTAGGACGCAGTAAGCACCCCACCCCCACAAAACCCCCAATAAAACTACTAATCTACTTCTGAGATAACAATCACTGTTGTTCTTTGATAAAAGAGAAGCAGAGGATTCTTCACTTGTCATTTATGAACCACTTGGCTCAGCAGGGAGAAGATGAAACAGGAATTAATATCACTGCTCTTTCCTAAAAAGATCTCACCTCCATAAAACCATTTTGTTAACTTTTTTTTTCCAAATAGACATAACTTAGGAAACTTCACTTGGTAATAAACCACATGACTTTTTCAATGCCATTCTTTTTTTCAAATCTCCATGCATTGGTTGCTTTACATTTTAACACCATCTTTCTAACTGTAATTAGAAAAGTTTTAGAATTTTTTTCGCACAATAATTATTGATGCAGAAACAAAATGGCCAACATTTGTCCGGTTTTACCATGCTATAAAGTTTTGATCATTCTCAGAGTAAAACTTGCAAGTTAATCATTGAATTCTTCATATGGGCAATAAAATCACCCCTGCCCCACCTATTTTTAACTTATCATAAAATTTCTAAACCTTTTGTTGGTAACATAGATGACTATTCTTAGATCTCAGCCAATCAGAGATGGAATGTTATGTCATATATGACCACCATGGTCCAGCAGGGAGGATATTAAAGAGGAATCAATTAGCCTACGACAGCACTCCCCCTCAACATTCCTCACCTCCTTAAAACCATTATGCAATCACCATAAAACTTCTAATTCTTTTGCAGGTAACATGGATTGCTGCTTTTAGAGCTCAGCCTGAGAGTCCAGCAGGGAGAACAAAGGGGAATCAGTATCACTGCTCTTCCCTCAAAATTTCTCACCTCCGTGTCATGTTATGTAATGTATAGTACATGTGGCTCATCAGGGGAAAGCATCAAGGCAGATTAATTAGTACCACACTTTTTTACATCCAAGAATCTTAGCTCTGAACAGCTACATACTAGGTATACTTATGTGCCTGATGTAAACTACTACACTGTCTATGTAGACCTACAATTGTATAAATTGTGGACTGGGTCCAATGGGGCCTATTGATAGCTAGTATCATTTAAATACAGTACACAGCATTAACTATTTAGGGGTTAGAAACTAGTGATGTTTATTGTGGAGTTAGTCTATCATACCCAGCTACATTTGCCCCAAATGCTGATGGAAGGGGGGGGGGGTATGGTTATAGTTATAAATGCAAAATTAAACCAATTTAAAGTAAATTCAATAGCATTTATTATTACTTTTATATTGTGTAAGAGTGTAAGACTGTTAGAATAATTTTCATTTAGCATTATTATTTTCACTAGGCCTAGGCCTATTCTATTCATTGTTTATTATTTATTTTCAATTGGCCTATATATTAGTATTAGTAGTATTAGTTATTAATCTAGTCCAGGGGTCGGCAACCTGCGGCTCTTTTGATGTCAAGATGCGGCACTCCAGTTCCATGCACAAATATTAATAATTATTTTATATTATTTTTAAAACTCATTAAAATTATTATAGAGAAAAAAAACAACTTTAAACAGGATAAAAAACACTCATCAGAGAACAATGAGAGTAGGTGAGGTAGAGAGTATACGGACAGCTGACAGCCGCTTGGGCACCAGACCCAGATCCACAAGCGTGTTGTAGCCAGCCCCGTGGCGAAGGTTTCATTCTTGCCACTGCCGACTTTTTCGAATATCGTTAAATAAGGAATATTATTCTGATTCAGAATGCATTTCTCTATCGGTCAGTATGCATTAATTTGACATGAGATACGTGTTTTTTTAAGTTATTAGCTTCCTACGGTTGAGCTGGTGGGGTACGAGTTTACCCTGCGTTCAGTGGGTAGGAAGATAAGCCAGATGAAAACCGAAAACAGAAGCGACCGATACCCAAGCCAGTAGTTGGAGTATCTCGTGTTTAGGGCTGCCGGGCTATGGGAGACACCTCCTGAGCCGGTGGTGTCCATAAAGAAAGAAAAAAAAGTTATAAAAAGTAATTGGCTTCAAAAGCGGATTGAGATAGTTGTATAGGTATATTATTTGATTACTAATTTTATTATAGCAGAGCTAGGAATAATACTTGAATAGGGCCTATGTTTTGTGCGAAATATTAGTATGCTTTTTAAGTAGGCCTGGCCTAGGCCTATAAAATTACTATAAATATTCTTTCATTTTTAAAGCTATTTATTTCAAATCAAAATTCAAAAGTATAGGCTAGGTCTAATCCTAATCAAATGCCAAAATATTGGGATGATTATAGATACCAGTGTCCGATAATGGAATCTTCTTTAAAAAAGGGGTGTTGGGTTGTTAGTGTAGTATTGTAATCTCGACTAATTGTATGGTTAGAAATTAGGGTTAGGCGTATGGTTGGACCAGGGTTGGGGTTAGGGTTAGGGACAGGGTTAGCATTGACATTATCCAGCCATGTGTGTATTTAGTTAACTACCAGTAACCTAACACCCCTTTTTTAAAGAAGATTCCATTATCAGACACCGGTGTAAACATTCTCCCAAATATTGAAATAAAAATTTTAGTGGCTATTTAAAAACTGGCAACTTATGTAAATTGTAACTTTTGGCTCTTCTGGCTCAAAAGGTTGCCGACCCCTGGTCTAGCTAGCTAGACCTAGTCTATTAGATTACTTTTTACAGTTAGTTAGGCTAATTAAAATCTTTAAAAATGTACAGGTGCTAAAAATGTGGCTCCTGATGTCCTTCTTTCGCTGATTCTAGATCTAGTGATCTGTAAGTCAGGGTAGAAGAGGGTAGGCCAATTTTTCCGATTTTTTATAACAGTGAGTGAGTTCTCAGTTCAGTTGATGAAATTGAAATTCAGTTACTAACCTGTTCGCTTTCCTTATTGTCCCTTTTCTTTTTATTCTTTTTCTTCGCAGCGCTAGAGCTAGAAGCATTTTGGTGAGATGAGGCTTTGGTGGGTGGCTTTCTCTCATCATCTTCATCATCTTCGATTTTCAGAACTGCAAATCGTGATGTTGAAACTGAAATTCCTTGTCTATTCGCCATTTTGTAATAAATACAAAGCAAACGTGCATCTAGGGGAGGTCGCTCTAATTTTAGTTGTGATAATTATTTCTACAGTAATATCCCTTGGTCCAATGCTTTATTAAAAAACTATTTTATTTTTTTACTGCAGAAAACTAACAGAGAGCTTAGCTATTTCAAGGCTAAAAGAACTATTTATTCTGCACAAGACTCTCCCTTTCAAAAATATTAAACGACATATTAAAATACTTGTTAATCTTTCTAATACAACAAAACTATCTAGAAATATCTATTTTAAAAATTCCAAATCTATCTAGCACCATCATCCCTTAACCATCTAATATTGTGGTCGTTGGGGCACTAAAGATGACCGTATAATTCTCCGTGATCCATCTCTGTCCTCTGACATTCTGATAAGTTCTGAAACCGGCAGCCCCGTCCAAACTTTGATGTCATCCATCTAGTGTCGTCTTTGCCATCCCCTTCTCACTCTTGGTACAGTGTCTTGCAATATTGTTTTGGATTATGTTTTCTTATTTTCACTGTGCTCTCTATATGCTCCAAGGTACCAAGCGCATTAGTAATCCTTTCTCGTACTTCTTCATTTGTTTATGTGATCTCTGCACGAGATTCCCAGGAATCTCCGTAGACATATTTCCAGGGCCTGGAATCTTCTCTGGAGATCAACGTTGGGTGTCCATGCTTCGCATCCATACAGAAAGACACACACCACCACTGACCGCATGAGTTTAATTTTTGTGCCAATAGAAGTGTTGTTAACATGCCAAACGTTTCTTAGTTTACTGAATGCTGTTGCTGTTTGGGTACATCTTGCAAGTATTTCTTGCTTCGTTCTAGGTCTATTACCAAAACTTAAACTTCACCTAAGGGGTCATCCATAAATGACGTCACACTCGTAGGGGGGAGGGGGGGTCCGTAATTTTGTGACGATGTGTGATGAGGGGGAGGGGGGGGTCAGATGTTGCGACGTCACATTTTTGCATTATAAAAAAGCAATGTTAGAAAACGAATTTTAGACGTTATTTCGCGTTTTAGATAACTGTTTTAATAAATTGTAATAGTTTAGACAAGATTTTGGAAAAATATCGATGTTTTTAAAAAATTCAACTGCAATTTTGAGGGGGGTTGTAGGTTGAGGTGTGACGTCATTTTAGGGGGGGGGGGTCTGGCTTTTTGTGACGACGTGTGACGGAGGGGAGGGGGGAGGTAAAAATCGTCCAAAAAAGCGTGACGTCATTTATGGATGACCCCTAAGCTACAATGAATCATCGCAAAGTTTATCATTCATCTTATTCTATATTTTGCTATAGATAACATAAGTGTAAATGTTTATTTATTCAACATTTAAACATGGACGGAGTGGTCTAGCGGCAGAGAGCTGAACTGCTAACCCGCTATTCTCGAGTTTGAATCCGGGTTCAAGTCAGAAGACCGTCCCTGAGTCCACCCAGCTCTGATGGGTACCTAACTCACGTTAGGGAAAGTAAATGCGGCTGGTCATAGTGCTGACCACATTTATGGACGACTCCTTACCACAGACAATTTGAAGCTATTAAAAGCTAGTACAAGTAATTAAATAATTGCATATGACGATAGTCTGAGTCTTTGGGCAGTCTGTTTAGGCAAACTTACTAGAATGCCTCGGGAAGTCTAGTTCTCTAGATTACGGGTCGTCCATAAATGGGGGAGGGGGGGGGGGGGGGGTGGGTTCAGATGGTGCGACGTCACACTTTTGCTTTATAAAGAACAATGTTAGAAAACGAATTTTAGACGTTATTTTGCGATTTAGAAAACTGTTTTAATAAATTGTAATAACAATTGATTAAAATACTCTATTTTGACAGAGTTCAGACAAGATTTAGGAAAAATAGAGATGTTTTGAGAACAATTCAACTGCAATTTTGAGGGGGGGGGGGGGTTGTAGGCTGAGGTGCGACGTCATTTTAGGGGGGGGGTCTGGCTTTTTGTGACGACGTGTGACGGAGGGGGAGGGGGGAGGTAAAAATCGTCAAAAAAAGCGTGACGTCATTTGACATTTATGGATGACCCTTTACTAGATCTCGATTTCAGTTAGATCTATTGGGCTCTATTTAGTGCATTATTTTATTTTCATCTGGTCTAGACTAGCTTAGATTTAAAGATTAAGAAGGATAATAGTTAGTAGGCCTATCTGATCTTCGTTATTTCAGACCAATGTTATCAGCCACAACAGAGCTTGACATCTTTATCCTACTTCTATTGGCCAGATTCCATTGTCTCCCGAGGCAAAGGAGCTAGAGATCTAGAATCTAGATATTTATATTTTAGATCTTATATACAGAATTTGGTATAGATCTAGGCTAGGCTACATCTTTTATAGATCTAGATGAATCTAGAAAATTAATTTTATTTGATCTCTAGATCTACATTTGCTTTGTCTGACTGATACATTGGTCATTGCAGTCATTACAAAGGTCAGTGACGGCTATTTTAAATTCGTTGTCTGATGCTATTGTTAAACATTAAACTATCAATTTTGACGGCTTTAAAAATCAGAACTAGAATCTAGATCTAGCTCTAGATTATAGATCTAGATCTAGATCTAGAATCTAGATCTACATTTTGACTTGCATTCTTCTATTGTGCTCTAAGCCTATTCGCCAGTTGTTTTTTTTTTTTTTTGTTTATAAATAGAACGTAGATATTTTCGACCAATCAATAAGCTCATTGCGCAGCCTGAGTAAGTGTTGTAGTAAATTGCTTAAAATAGACATCAGCCGGAATACTAAACTTGCTCTTGTTTTTGTCTGTAGAGACGTCGTTTACCCATAACAATTTCTGGCTTTTTTGTACACTTTCAGTTTCTCACCATGACGTGAAGCTTTACAAGTACAGCCAGCAATGTCTGGTCAATCTTCAAGAGGAAGGAGGAAATATAAACTTGTTATTCTCGGTGACGGAGGCGTGGGAAAAAGTGGTATGAAAAATTAATAAATTATAATTATTTTATTCTTACGATTCTATCAGTATCTAGTCTAGCTAGGCCTACTGTAGATTCTAGATAGTAGATAGTCTATGACTCTAGGCCTGAAAGTCTAGGCCTAGATGTAGTATTTTATTAGACACCTACTTAATCTACTAAATCTAGATCTAGAAATCTAGATCTTCCAGACCTGCCTAGGTAGATCTAGATCTAGATCTACGTAAAATCGCCCGCGACTAGTAATGTGAAAAACAGGTGACTCCTTAAATTTTGATAATTATTTCACAGTTTGAGGAGGATTTATGTTTTGAAAAATACAAAAATGTTTCCTTGTTTCATTTATGTACCTGGGGCGTAACGACGCTCCCAGCGGTCGGTCTGCCGGCCTGCCATACCGTAATGATGCTCCCAGCATCCGATAAAATTTTCTCTATTTAATTCGTTGTTTTTCATAATCCAAGTTTTTAATCGTAAATCTAGGTCATGATAACGCTAGAGTGGCCATTTTTCGTTGTATTTACTTCTTGTAGCTTTCTCGTTAGATCGATTTTGTATTTTATAGAATTTTTTTTGTAAACCAACTCGCAAAACGGCATTTTTTAACACTGCGGAATGCCGTTCAGCGGCCGCGTCTAAACGTTTACGTCGCCGCATTATAAAATTAACGAAAATTAAAGTATTTATACTAAGACTAATCCGATCCATGATTTTTGTAGATAAATGGACGTACTTTCGTTTTCTATGAACAAGAACTCATGAAAAGTTATTCTTATTATTAATTTTCCCGACAGAAGCGTAATTTTTGCACGAAAAAATCAACTAATTATTTTTTCTTCTTTAAAACTAAGTAATTATCTTTCTTCAATAAATAAATAATTCCTTAAAATTTATTTCAGTGTGTAGGCTATTCAATTACGTACTGAAAAAAAATGTGGGGTAAAAAATAATTCCGGTAAAACGTGAAAATAATTACGGGCTTAAAGAGTTAAACAACTGAATTAAAACTTTTCAGTAGGCCTAATAAATGAAGACTAGCGATGTTTCCAACAGATGCAACCATGCTCATAAACTATAGCAGCAATCTTTATTTATTTTTTTATTGTTAACTTATAGCGCAAGATTCAGGGGAAGTCACTCTAACTTACAGATGGCTGCTTTTTATATAGCAAATCCTGCTCGCAAACACTGCTGTTTACTGTTAATTTCTTGCCTATTTTGATATATTTAGCCGTTGATTAAGGTTTATTATTCATTTATCTATAATATTTGTCACAAATATATCACAATATACTTCTATTAAAACCTTGACAATGAGGTAACTGTTTCGTACATTACTAGCCGCGGGCGATTTTACGTACCTAATACGATAGATTACCGAATTTTTATACGGGTGTCCGACAATGGAATATTCTTTTAAAAAGGAGTGTTAGGCTACTGGTAGTTAACTAAATAAACACATGGCTGGCTAATGTTAATGCTAACCCTGTCCCTAACCCTTACGCTGGTTCTACCATATGCCTAACGCTAATTTCTAACCATTAAATTAGTGGAGATTACAATACTACTAACAACCCAACACCTATTTTATGGCATGGACACTGGTATCTATAATCATCCAATATGAATGTTAGGACTAGATCTAGTGATGTTAATGTTCTATTCATTTGGGGCCATTCACACTCTACTTCGAATAGCCTTCAGAAGGCTATTTGTAGTGCAGTGCCAATAGCCTTCAGAAGGCTATTACTATTTGTACACAGCATTTCCCCCGCTCCTCCCTTAAACATTTGGCTAGGTCGCCTAGGTCCTAGCTGTAATTACTTAACTAGATTCTACTGTCTTTAGACAACAATTATTAAATAATTATTTACTAATTTTATTATTAGGGCCTAATTATTTATAATAATTATTGAATAATTATATTCAAATAAATTACACAGGTCTATATTATATAGAAGAAATATAGATATCAAAAGATAATTCATGATTACTATTACTATAGATAAGAATGGGGGTCTGGCATCTGTGATAATGAGGTAAAAATCGCCTTAAAATCTTAAGGCTTAAGGATGACCATTAACAGCTTTTACACTACATCCAAAGAGGGTCCAGAATGTGACAATACTTTTGTGTTTTAGAAATGCATATTTAGTTTTTGAATATTTGTAAGCTGTTAATCAGCAAGTAGTTTTGAATTATTATTTTTTTTTTGTTGCTCTCAATAAAAACATGTATCAATACAAGATCAGATACCCAGACCACTTGATTTTTTAAGGAATTTTTATATAAAGCAGCTATTATTTTACTACACGTACAAGGTAGCCATGTTGTTCCCACTGATGAGTCACTTGTCTCTTACATATGATAGATATGGTATCCTTTAATTTGTTCTGTTTACTGTTAAATTATAAAACTGTTTATTGTTCTGTTAAATAATGTTTGATTTGTTTGCTACTATTCATACATAATTAACAAGAAACATACTTAACTCAGAAATTGAGCTTTTATTATTGAATTTTAAAAAATAAAAATACAGTTCTGCAACTCCTCCAAAGCTTTAAATAGCAGCCTCCAACTAATTGTAGCTTTCAAAACAGCTGTTTAAGAATGATTCAAAATAATGGCGTCCATCTTGTAATAAACTTTCTTGTAGAGTGTGCGTCTCTAAACTTGTATCACGAGTAGAAAGGTTAAACTGGGCGGTATTTTACATTATACTTTGATTGGTCAGTGTACAGATAACTTCCTATAATCTGATTGGTCAATGTACAAATAACCTCCATCGCTATTTGTACTTCACTACAAATAGCCATCTTAAGTGAACTACGAATAAATACTCTTCTATTCTAGATCCAGATCTAGAAATCTAGTTACTATTATAGTTAAACCTAAATATAGGCTAATAAATATATATTAAGATAAAGTCTTGTGGTACTCAACTCTACAACTCTAGCTGGAGTAGGACAGCCGTAGGCCTTTTTTAAGAGTAATTAATTAGTAATATCATAATAATATGACACCTTCCAGACACATTTATACTTTATAGAAATAAAAAGGATGTTTGTCATAGCAGAGATGTATAAGATTAACTACATGTCTATATAGTTTGCATTGAGTTGTGATGCATGTGTGTTGACATCTAAGGTTCCAGGATATAGAAATATCACGCCACTATACTTATCTCATTCTGGCACACTTTATTATTACTGTGTTAAACTGTCATCAGCCACTAATTTTATCATCCGCACTTGCAAAATATGATCCCAAATCATTTGAGATTGGTTAAGAACCACTGTTATAGATCATAATTATCTCTGTATCTCACAATGATAAAATATACATAGTTCTAAAAGTATCTACCATTCAATAAAACACAAAAATCTTAACTCAAGGCCAAGTAGTTTTTTTTTACATGAATTTTCCAAGTAATGTGTATATCTTGCATATACATCTTTGTAAATCTGCATTCAAAGTTAGTTACCTGCTTAAGGCTGCAAATGCATGTCAGTAGTATTTTGTTGGCTTTGGATTAATTGCCTGTTATACTTGCTTTATAAGTCAAATCATATAAAGTGTTAAATAGACATGCCATGTTCTGTAACCATGTAAAACACCTTTATTTTACAGCTTTGGTCATCCAGTTTGTGAGTCACAGATTTATAGAATACCATGATCCAACAATTGGTAGGTTTGAAATAGGTTTAAAAATATAGCAACTCTCTGTTCTTTGGAAGTGCTTATTTTGTCTTACTGTAATAATAATAATCACAGCCTTAAGACGGAATAAGCAACACATTTATTTCCTGTTTCATAAGATAAAATTAGCACTACCCTGTTCTCTGGCAGTGTGACATGTTGTTTATAGCACATCATTTTGACCCTAATCCCCAGAATAAATTTAAAACTCAATGCAATTCTGTATTGCCCTGCCAATGAAATTCTTATTTTAATGTATCAGTGCAATATTATTGTGTCCAAGTTACAGTTCTCCTTAATTCATTCAATTGATTAACATTTTTAAGTTACTTGACAATATATGTTTATAACAAGTGTTGGTTTTCAATACAGAATCAGATTTCAATCATTGATAAAGATTTAAAATTTTGAAAAGATAAACAATATCTAAAAAATTTAAATCAAATCAGCTATAGTTTTTAATAGTTACTTCTGCAAGTTGTTCTTAAAATTAGTTTCTTATGTACATTTTTAGTTTTAGAGAAATTTTATTGAAATCACTTGTGTAGTATCTGTTTTCAACAAACTCAAGTGCCTATATATGATAACGTTTCAGAGGATTCTTTTGAACAGCAGTGTCGCATTGATGATGAACCAGCTCATCTTGACATTTTGGATACTGCTGGCCAGGTCTGTGGTGCTTACATCTTAATGTGGTGTGTGGATGTGAAACCAGGCTTATTATTTTTGTTCATGTATTGTTTGCTAATAATAATTCAAGTTTAAATGTATAAAATAACAGTGTAGAAAACTCTAAAAGAATCTTTAGTATGTGTAACACAAATTCACTCTATAACATTCTATGTAAGGTCACTACATTTTAAAAACATAGTTGAAGCTGTGTTTTTGAAGTAGGAAAAATTAAACATGTTGCTGGTAGAGTTTTTATTTACTAAAAAATATTTTTTTTTATCATAGACGGAGTTTACAGCAATGCGGGAACAATACATGAGAAACGGTGAAGGTTTTGTTCTTTGTTTCTCTATAACTGACCGACGTAGCTTTGATGAGTTAATCACTTACAAAAATCTAATCAACCGCGTACGGTCAGGTGAGGATATACCTGTCATCATTGCTGGTAATAAATGTGATTTGGAACAGAAGAGAAAGGTTAGTTGATCACAGACATAATGTTTTGTTTATTGACAGTTGGTTAGGCCTGGAGTTTTAATATATATTTAAACTAATTTTCTCTATACATTTTTTTTTAATGTAATAATATTACAAATAATTGTATGGTCAAAATTTTCCATGGTTTGTGTGGCAGTGGTTGGGAATTTATTATCTTAAAGCTTCATTGAAAGTTATTTACATTTTATAAACATCTGAAATAGAATTAAAGAAAAAATTGACTTTTTAGCTTAAAATCATATGTAGTATTTATATTGGAAAAATGAACTCTTTTATTATATTCTGTGTAGGTAAAATATGAAGAAGGTGTTGCCCTGGCACAGCAGTTGGGTTGTCGCTACTATGAAACTTCTGCATATTTAAGGAAATGTATTGACGATGTTTTTCATGGTATTGTGCGAGCAATAAGGGATAAGGAGAAGGAAAAATTTGAACAGGGACCACACTCTAAAAAGAAGCAAGGAAAAGTGAAAAAACTTTTATCTTCTCTACAACCAAACCATCTATTCAGAAAAGGGTCTACCTCTAAGCACAGCAAAGATTCTTAACAGAATAACAGGAAAATTACTGTTTTATTGTAGGTATGTATTGATTCTATGCAGTTGCATAATTAATTACGATAGTTTTTAAAGTAACCATTCAAAATAGACACAGTTACTTTGACAATTTTTTTATTTTAAAAGTATTTTTAGACTAAAATAAAAATTCTTTTGTGTTTTTATTTTATTCATGGGAATAGTTGGATGGATAGAGCCCTTACAAATTTAATCCACTGCCCTCTATCCATAATAATTCTGCTTTTTTACATCAGTTCAATATATTATTGAGAGCTACCTGGATTGTAATACTAATGATTCTATAATACATTATTTCTAATGAGTTGTTTGGAAATCTACAGCATAGTAGTTTAATGTATTAAAATCAGGATTACAACATTGGAATATGTGTTTTACCCATGTAAAGAATATAACTTTCCATACTTTTTCAGCTAATTTTGAATTCTAGTTTTCTTAACTAAACAAGGCAAAAAAAATTTATCAGAATATCTCCAAATTTTGACGTTTAGTTGATTTTCAATTTGTTTTTGTAAATTGGACCATTCATTTTATGTAATGATCTCTCATCAATTATTAAAATGCTGGCAACAATTGATATACTGTATACAGTGTAAAAGTGAATACCCTCATGCACTCTGTTGAGTTTCATTTCAGCCGTATTTTTTTTTTTAAATTAGCATCTTATCATGCTAACATTCCTTTTTTTTCTAAGAACAATTAATATTATAAAATTTCTTTTAAATTAATATTCTGAACATTAAAGAAAATCTATAAAAGTTGTTATTTAGCTGTATACAATATTTAAAAATGTATCGCACTGCTGATGTATATTGGTAAAAAAAATTTTTGGCTCAGGGCACAGCACAACATAAATATAAATATTTAATGTAAGATTTTAAAATCTTGGTATGATTGCATTTTTACCATAAATAATCCAGCATTGCTTAATTCAGATTTCGCTAATGTTTAAAGGTATTTTACTTGCTGCCTTTAGCAGTCATATGATTTGTGCTTGAGATGTTAAAAAATATTTATTCTCTAGAATGTTTATTCTTATACTTAATGTATATTTGTATTTATATATCAAATAATTTATTAATAATGTTGCTGCTTTGATACATATCTTGAAATGCTGATGTTTTTATATTCTTTTTTAGGAGAAACTAAATTATTAATTCAAAATTATTTTAATTTTTAAAGTATTTTTTAATTATCAAAAAACTGAACAGTTGCATATCTTTTTCTATATGGAGCTAGCACCTTTCTGCAATGAATAAATTATCTTTAAAAAGAATATTGTTTATAAATGTCAATTCCATTTTTATTTTGGAAAACACCATATTTGTCAAAAATTAGCATATAGTTTCTTTCATACAAATCTTTCTTATAAAGAAATATGAAGTATTTGATATTTTGAGTTTCAAAAAAATATAATATTTTACAAATAACTATCAAATTTAATTGTTGTATAGATTTGAGCTGCTGATTTTATAGTTGATTTTTTTCATTATCCAGCAATTTGAAGAAGAAAAAATTAGCATTATTCATTTACTACTGAAATCATTGTTCAATAAATATTTAACTAGCTTTAGGTGCTCTGTAAATGTTGCACAGATTTAATAATGATGAATAAAAGAAATTTTAAAAATTCAGTTCTTTTAACATAAGTGAAGTACTTATGTTTGCTTGTCTTTAGAGTGTTGATGTAAGATTACTTTTAGTCAAAAGACAATCTTAATTATTGTGAATTAATATGCTGAAGCTTTTCAATTTATTTTAGAATACTAATTACATTAAGTTAGTAGTATTTCAGTTGGGAATATAACATTTTGATAGCAGTAACATTCACATACATTTCAAGAGATGAAAGTAAAAAAAAAAAATAAACGTGCTGTGATGTTATTTGTATATCTACTAATTTATATCAAAATCTGAAAAATTAAAATAATACTTTTAGCTTTAATATGTAAACATAACTATGATTTTTTTTTGTATAAAAATTAGATGTGCTGTGAATGACGTTTTTTACAATGTTATTTTCTTAAAATTGTAACTATGTTCCATTTACTTGTTAATTTGCAATAATGACTATGGTGAGATAATCTGGAATAAATAGTGAATTGTAGTAGATTTTAAGAGTTATCTCCCATATGTTCATACTTGATAACACCAAGGTTTTATTATTTTGCACATCACGATTAGTATTTGTAAATTACGTCACACTACTTAGTGTACTAGATAAGAAGTCTTGGTCTGATGGTGTGACCATGCATACATGATATATCTACTGTAATAATATAATATAAATTAAAACAATATCAACTGTTAGTTATTATACCACATTAACAACAAAGAATTTTGATATAATTTATACACAAGGCTTATCATCGAGTTTACACAATAGCCTGTCTGAAAACTAAAAGTGTGGAGTATGAGAATTTTAGTTAATTGTAGAATCAATGTACAGACAAAACATTTTGAGTCCTTGTCTGTGTTTTTTTTATTTAGCTTGTTTGCATTCATTTTAGCTGTTAAATAAATGTTAAAATTGTTGGAAGCTGTTGAGTGTATAAATTGTTAGATGCTGTTTAATCATTGACCGTTACGGTTGTTGGTGAATGTTCTCTGGTTATCCCAAGAAAAAGCTATAGTGTGCAGGGTGTCATCATCATCACTGCCTGTACCCCCTGCTGGGGTATGAGCCGCCAACCACTGTCTTGTACCATTTGATCAACCTGACTCCATGTGAAGCCCATCTCTGTAGTTTCAGCCTAAATATCCCGTCTGCAGGTTTTCTTGGTCGACACCTTTATCTTTCCTCGTTGATTTCCCCTAAATTGTACCTGGTGATATGGGTTGGCGGTCTGTCTTCTGCCTATTCTAATTTCTTTATCAGCAAAAAAGTTGTCCTGTTGTTCATAGGTAGTTTACAGGGTATATGATAGCTTTATATTTTGCAGCGCATTTAGAAATTAAACATACACGCTATATTTATAATTATTATTCTATACAAATGTTATATTGCTTTTCGTTAAAAAAGTATATTTGTTTTTAATTGGAAAAGGGATTTTTTATGTGTGACATTTTAAATACAGGGGATTTCCAAATTATTTATTTACACTACAATAATTCTTTAGCTACTTTATAATCCAATTAAAAAGACAGTTTTTAAAAAATGAAAGCAACTATATCATGTCTCAAAAAAAATCTATTTAAATTTTCAAATAAATTATGAATAAAATAATCGTAGTTCAGAATTATTTTGTTATTCATAGCAATCATCTAATCCTTGTGTATATTTTTTAAAAATTTTACGCTTCACTTATAACAGTCATTAAAGATAACTTCTTGAAATTAATTTTTATATTCTAATGTAGTCAGATAAGTTGTTTGTCCTCTTTATCAAAATATTATTTATCACATAATCTACCATCACAGATATAAATAAACTGATAAAGAGCATTCTATTATTTTTTATCAGAAGAGAGTAACTCAGTAATTTGTACTTTTTCTTTTTTTTATATGTTGCATGAATGTAGTTTTTGTTTTGACCAGCATAGTTAAATGTATTGCTCTTTTTTAAAGAATCACACAATTTATTTGTTAAACTTATTATTTATAATCTTTCACTTTGTATAGAAATATGTAAAGAAACCTTTGTATACTGTGATTATTTATGCATTGTTTCATTAATTTTGGGTTTTTACTTAATCTTTCTGTTAGTTTTTTTTTTTTTAAATTTTAGATTAAAAATTTTAAGTAACATTTTATTGATTAGCATTTTGCACATACAAAATAGCTATACTTTACTCTAGAATGTTTTATACAATGCAGGTGCTATACCTATCATGGTTTTTATTAGGGTTTCTCTCCCCTCCCTCCTTTCTCTCCCCCCCCCCCCCCCCCCCCCCCCCCCATACTATTAAAAGATTTCACATTAATTTATTCATTTCAGTATCATTTTAAAAAGTACAAAACACTGCAAGTTAAGTAATATTTATTTTAAAACAGACATATCCTCTTAATAGCTAACAAGTATCATTTCTACCAGTTTTTTTTTTTTAAATAATTTTGTTAACCTTATTCAGAACATTTTTCTTACTTTACTATGCATTTTTACAAATATTTGCTTAATATTTATGGCATTTTTCTGATTTTCTCTTTGCTTGTAATAATCTACTGCTGTTGTGTCTGTGATAAAAAAAATTCATCAAAAAAAGTTATTGTAGATTTGCCATGTGTGTTGATTAGACTGTTTGGTACCTTTTTAAAATTAACTAGTAGTTTGATAGCAAGGTTTCTACCTTAACCCTGACATGTTAAGTTAGTTGTAAGTTTTTATTGTTAGGGATATGTCTAACGGCGAAGTACTCCCTATTATTATGAAAAAATTTGGTAGTCATTTTTTTTAAAATTTGGAAATCAAATTTTGATCATGTTTATTTTTTTTTCACATAACTCATTGAGAAATAAAACGGTATGCTTGTGATAATCACCTTTATTTGAAAGGATAAAAAACGAATAGTGTCATTTTACTTGTTTCCATTTGTCCATGTTTGTGTATGCTTCAACTGCGATACTTAATATATTTGTTGACTCATGATGGATCTTACACAGAGAAAAGGAACAGTGTTAAAATGTGAATGTTAATCACACTTGTTATAAATAGCCCAAGACAAGTGGTTTAAATAAATGTATCCTGGAGTGCTGACTTTGTTACGTTGCATATCATTTTTATACTGTTGTTTTATTTTAGTTTTAAATGAAGGGACAAAGCAATCATAACTCAATGAAGGCACATTTGTTGCGCAACATTGTAACAAACTGTTATCATGACTGTTTGAGGGCACATTTGTGTTGCGACAATTCAACAAACTGACCTTTTGCTGATAATAACGAGGACAGCTGTGTTTTTCTCAAGAGCACGTCCACACCCCCACCCCAGACGAAAGAAAACAATCTCTGAAGTTTCAAGCCCCCCCCCCCCCCTCCCCACTTCACTACGTGCAACAGACTGAACTAGGTAGTTAGAATCATATTCAGTAGTTGGTCGGTAGGTCACCCATCCGTAACCCCGGTAGCCCATAACACGGGAACCAGTTAACCATATCACCCATTAGGGTTGTGTGCTTGGTATGTTGCCGATCTACACTCTCTGTGACAGAATTAACCATACATACTTTCACTCGTGATGCAAGCCAAGATAATTATAGAAATTTAAATCCTGTTGGGTTTTTTTTTTATGATTAACATGAGACATTAAATTATACCAATACCAAAATATAGGCCATTAACTTAGTTATAGTCTACACATTTATTCTTTATAACAGACAGTACACGGTGTATTAAGTAAA